CAGCTAGGGCGTAGATTGAATTTTCTGTTTATCTTTGAAAATCGTAAATAAATATAATTATTTTACTTCAATGACTGAATTTAAAAAAAACGGGATATTTATTTAAAAAAACGAAACTTTTAGAGAATCGGAGTTTTTGATAAAAAGGCTGAAATTCGAGAGACAAAAAAAATCTCATCCCTGTATAAAGGTCAACCAGTTTTATCCCAAGGAAATGATTTTTAGAGAAACTTCAGAGGGAGGAAAAGGAACTTCAATTTCCCACCGCGGAAAATTAAATTCCTCATAAAACATTTTAACTTGGGCAAAAAAAAATTTCAGCGGAAATTAGCGGGAAAAATGGAAAAATCTGAAAAAAAGCGGAAATCCGCGAATCCGCGGAAGAATCTCATCCCTGCAAAATAACTAGTTTCTGACAAGAGAACTCTTTTCTTGACATGAACAATCTCTTACATGAACAATCTTTTTGTCATAACCATTGCAGTAACTGGCTTATTCTGATCTAATGCCAGACTTTTTAAAGCGTTCTTAAAAAGTACTTAAAGGTGCTCAATTTCGTTTTTTAGAAGACCTTAAAGGTGCTATTTTATTGAGTGTTTTTAATTTTCCTTTTTCAAAAATTAGATTTTTTTTCTTTACCATGTCGATTTTCATCACATATTATGCAAAAGTGTGGTTTTCACATTGTTCTATTCAAAGCTTTTACAATTCATTCGCCCTGCAGTGGACTAATCTTTAAGACATGGTTCTCAGTAGAACAACGAAGTCAAGCATCACTGGCTGCGGTCAGTAAGCGGCTGGGTGACCACTTTGATCAGCCTGCGTAGGGACCGAATGTGCGCGGTATCAGTCCTCATTAAACTAATCTACAGTAAAGTGGTAGACTTGGAGCAGGTCGTCGAGCTACCACAGCAGGAGAGCCATCCCTTCTGCAGAGAATCAAAATTGTGATGGCATGTCTTTAGATCATCCTCAGGGATGTTTCCCACACAGTCGCCAATAGCCCATTGGGCAGCTCTAGTGCGACGTAAATAAAGTACCTATCTATCATAAAAATTATTCCATGTAAAAAATAATTAAAAAAAAAAATCAATTCTGAGCAAACTTTTAAATAACACTAAAATAAAATCTGTTAAATAGTTTTTGAGTAATAAAATTTCACAAAAATTTATTTTCTTCCACTGACAGATTATTAACTATACAATAATAATAATAAATAAATAACAATAAAGATATATTAATAACACAATTTAAATTTTTGCATCATGATAGGTTAAATTAAATATTGAACATATTGCACCATTGTTGAAGTTTTCTCTATCATTCCATATTTTCATTTATTTGTGGAGATTATTCCACTTTATTGAAAGTGTTGTACAATAAAGAAAGCACAGATGTTAAGAGACACAACCATATGGTTCATTTTAGTTTATAGATTTATTTTATGCTTATATAATCATTAAAGATAAAATAAGTCTTTCATATACATATTGGTAACAGAATTTAGGAAAAGGAACATATTTATAAAAATATACATTTTCTTAAATAATTTTCATGGTGCTTATAAATGGCACGTGACGAATGTCGTATGATCACAAAATGAACAGTCTGTACAAATATATAACAATAAGACACATTGGCAGAATTCACAAATTGCACAAGCATAACTAGAATCTTGACTAGCTTATGCAATAAGGAAGGGGAAAAAAAGATTGTCTTGATTGATTTCTCTAATGCTTCCTATTTACAGAATATACAGATATTAGGAAATCAGTGCTTCCAGCTGCTAGGCTAGCCTGAAAAAGAATTTTGTTGAAAGTAAAGTTGATTTTAAGTATAGTAAAAACATAAAATACATACAAAATGATTTCTTATTATCTTTCAAACATCAATTATAAAAAGAAATAATACACAGTAGAACTTCATTATACAGGGTTCGAAGTTGTTCAGCAGTCCTAATATTCTTAATTTTTTTTTTAATTTGTTCTAATTTTTAGATTTTTGTGAGTTCAGAACATCCACTTTACTAAGAATGCAAACGTGGATTAAAAAAAAGAAAGAAAAGATTTTAAGAATTGAAAAGTATAGATTTTTGATCGGACATCTTTTTTATTTTAATAAATGATAGTAGAAATAGCAAAATTCTATAGTTTCAATTTTTGCAGGGACATAGTTATATAGTATAAGACTAGTTATATATATATAGTTCAGGCATATAGCTTTAACTGCAGGATTCATAGTTTGAATTTATTTGGGAATTCGGTCATTCTATGAAAAAGAAACTCAACAATTTTATATTAACAAATTTTTATGATGATGAATTCGGGGGTCCCATGCTTATTTATAATTTATGCAAATGCTCTCACGAATTATGTAAGGTGAATTTTCAGAGTTTTACTATAATTGATTCATCTTTCATCTGATTTTAAAATTGATCAATTCCAATAAACAGCTAAAATTATTTGATTAAAGAAATCTTGAACTCAATTATTAATTTTAATTAATAATTGAGTAGATCTCTTTTTTGGTCAAGTTGCAAATATAAAGATAAGAGTTTTCACCAAAAAAAGAACCTAAAGCTTACTTTTTCTAGAAGAAATTTACTTTACGGTATAGAATGAGTCAGAGCAGGTTTATTTCCAAGACGAATCAGAGATAGGGGCTCTAAATCTGTGGTTCCCATATTGTTTTCTCCAGGGCTCCATGGAAATGTCACAGGGGTTCCATGAGTTATATTATTACTACTATATATTATTACTATTTGGATTTTTCTGGTAATGATTTTTGAAATCTGTAACAGGTTTGCCTTCAACCAATAATTCATTATTTTTTTAATTATTAGGTTATTAATAAGAAATTATTTAAGTAAAATGCCAATAAAAAGAAATAGCAGACACTAAAATATATATTTAAATTTTTTTCCCCAACTACAATATTTTGCATAAATTACTAAGATAATATGCATTTACAAATGATTGCATCAGTATTTCTCATCGAATTTAAAAAATCAAAATAAAATACCAAATTCTAGAATTACGAATTATTTTTCTATTATTATTTATTTTTATTTACAACAGTTCTTCATCAAAAACCATAATTCAACTTATTTTATTCAATTTGATCTCTGCATACGACAAAAACTAATGGACTAAAAGCTGTGGCAGACTTACAAATTGAACTGCTTAATATAAAAGCTAATTTTAAGACTGTTATTTATGAAACAACGAAAGAAATCACTCTTTGCATCAAATGTTTCTATATCAATTTAATGTTTTTTTAAAATTATATTCACGCCTACTAATAAACTTTTTTTAACGGCTAGAGTTACCCCAAAATAAGTTTGATCACTCAGGGTTAGGTAGTGGAAAAAAAATTGGGAACCGCTGCTCTAGACCATATTTATTTAGTGAGGAAAAAATTCTAGGAATTTTAACCATTTACATCCACAAGAAAACTAGATAATCAAAGTTATTGTTATTTTTTTTCAAAATAATGAAGATATGTGTTTGCCTCCTCTGTTTCAGATATAAAGGGTTGTGTTAAAAATTTAACTTAGAGAATATTCCTTAAGATTGAATGCCTATAAGATACCATATTCGAGACAGAAAATGGTAGCCTGAATCAATCTATCATCCTAAATTCTGTGCTTTCAAAAATCCATAAAAAAGCTTTGAGGGATATCAAGATTTTATGTTACACTTGATAGTGACATTTTCATGTTAGCCTAATTATCTTTAAAGTAAAGTACTTTGTACCCCTTTAGTTTTTCAGTTTTTGTAAAACCCAATAAATTAGATTAAAAAAAAACTTCTATAATTACCAAGCATAACTGGAGAAATTATCAATAATTTAATCGAACAGACAGTCATTCTCACATCACATTGTAATCAATTTAAACAGTAGACAATTTATTTAATCATAGAAATTTATGTAATGATTTAAATGCGCGCTATACATATTTTCAAAATAACACTTAGTGAAATCCTACCTTATAAGGATGAAAGACTAAACAGCTTATAGGTCCTATTTTGTTTCCCATAAAACCATCATGGTATTTTATCATGCTAATCGTGTCACCACTCTGATTAAAGACAGTAGCACCTCCACTTGCAGCACCACTAAAAGAAAATGTGATAAACTATTTATATGTTTAATTCTTTTTGTGTTAAAAATAAAAGGGTTCAGACAGTTGTAATAAGACAACATTAAATTTGACATATTGATGACCATTTATCACATCTGACGTATTTAATTGTTTTAAGAAATATGTTAAACTTTTTAATTGCTTCTTCTCTCTATATTTTTTTTTACATATTTTAATGCAGAAATTTTTTGAAACTAAATTTTTCACATTTCACGAGTTTTTCTTAAAAAAAATAAAGAATCAAAATGTATTAAGTAATATGATAAAAAAAAGTGTGTAAAAACTAAAATTTACATGGACTAAAACTTTAGAAATTTTAAATTTTTAGTCAGGTCTAAAATTAAAAATTAGCAGCAAAAAAAAAAAAAAAAAAACAAGAAAATAATGTGGGAGAATTTTAGGAACCACTCTATAAAAGGAACAATGTTTAACGATGAAGTCATCATGATAAATCCAATGTCAAAATTGAAGAGCATTCCAAAAGAGAACTTGTTTATGAAATTTTTACTGCAAAATACATAAAATGGGTATGCTATTCATATGATATTTTCAAGAGTTACTAGATCAGCAAAGGTTAATTAAATGTACTACCTGGTATTGCTAGAACAGTATTTTGTATTAATAAAAAATAAACTAACCAAGCAATTAAATCGAGGGATTGATGAACAGACATTGCAGTCATGCCATGAGCAGGAGGTATGCTTCTGATACTATTGGAATGCCTCAAATCCCAGAATTTTACATCTCCAGCGACACTAAAATGTACACAAAAAAAGTATAAACAAATTTATTTTGATTTAATTTATTGTGTTAATGATAGTAATAAAACTTTAAAAAAGATTAAGTGTGGATAAGAAAGAATTAATTATAACTCACCTTCCGCTGATTATCTGACCAAAATTTTGCTTATTTTGAAGTTTCACATTAACAACCCATCCTGAATGCTCTTGATATACATGTAGACAGCTATAAAAAAATAAATAAATGTTACTGGATATGAAGAAACATAGTGGCCAACATGAAAAGGAAAAACACCAGAATAGATTTTACGAAATGGTATAAATTTTATGGTAACTATTGAAGTATTTAAAACAGGATTTTTTTAAGTCAATAGAACACAAAAACTTCATAACACTAGTAACTATAGATTTAAATTAATTTGAAAATAAAATTTTTCCTTATGTTTTTGATTTCATAATATTGAACAGTAAGAGATATTTCATTCATTTTAGATAATTACGATATTTTATAATTTTATTCATTTATTTTTCCTAAAAAAAATAGCTCAATTTTTTCCCCCAGAGAATTTAGAAGAACAAAGCTTTAAATTGACACAAGGCTTATTTACCAGTAACTTTTGTATTTAAAAAACTCACACAAGAAATAAACAAAAAAAATATCTATTTTTGTAGGACATTTTTCTCTCCAAATTTTAAGGAATTTTCTAAAATTTGTAATAACAGGAAAATTTTAGATAAAAGCAGGAGACTAAGAAAAACTACCAAAAACCAGTAGAGTTGGTAGCTATGAAGAAATCATTTTTCTTTCTTTTTACAACAACTAAAACATTAAGTTCATAAGCAATTAATATATATACAAATTAAAATAATTAATTAAATGCTTTTCACAACCAACTCTATGATTTATTATATCGTTAATAAGGAACAGTATGTTTTATTATAACAAATATAGAATTATATCATGTTGTATACGTTGATGCTCAATAAAACGACACTTCTGTTGTCCATGGAAAAAAGGACGTTGTAACATGAGTGCACAAATATACCGTAAATATTAACTCAAGGCTAAAAAAAAATACTTGGCCAATTTTAACAAAACAATGCTTTACTTTACATGTGATTGTTGGAAGATATTACCAGAAATTATATTTTAATGTATTTACTTTTTTTTTGTATTTATTTTGGTACTTTTTGTAAATTTAAAAGACTGTCATTTTTATGCGCAAAAGTAACTTTTACAAAATTTAAAGGGAGAAAGAAAAAAATTTTGCAACCAAAAAAGTTTTTTCTTTTAAAAGAATATAGATTGTAAAACATTATTTTTTTTTTGTGCTTTGCAAATCATCACATTAAAAAAAAAGTAGAAAAATAAATATCTAAAAACCATGAAAATTATGGTAATACTAACTGGAAAAAAATAAATGATTTGCATTTATAATGAAACCACACAAAAAAAGGTAGTCAAAAAAGAGTTAATTAAATGTACGTTTTGAGATTTTAAAAAAAAGGCAAAACTAAGTAGTGATACCTGCCAAAAAATTGATTGAAGAAAAGGACAGAATTATCATGTCTTATAATGAATTCTCAGGTGCGCGATTTGAATTTCCTGTATCATAATAATATCAGAATTTTAAACAATTATGTGAAAATCAATAGAAAAAACTGACGAGANCTGCCGAGCCCCCCCCCCCCGACAGAATCAGTGCATGCATATAGCACAAATCAAGTGTGTAAAAATTACTTAAATTTGTGATTAGATTTTCTCGTTTCTTAATAATATCATATGAAAATATCGGTATTTAAAAACTATGTAGATATCAGTAGCAATAACTGAAAACGTTTATGGTAGAAACAGTGATATCGCCACATTAAGAAGTAACTAATAAATACAAAAGTTCAATTTTGCTTGTGGTAATAATAATGTATAAAAAATATAGGAATTCAAAACATTGAGCAAATTAATAGTTATAATAGCCGATGAAACAATAAAAAATTCGCATGGATTTACGATGGTATTGAAGCAAATTGAGTGCATCAAAAAGTGATTACTCAAAAGCACAATTCAAATTTTGCATGTCATAATAATACGGGAGAAACTAAATTGCATGAACTGCAACTGAAAAAAAAGAAAAAGATCTAGACACGGATGGTATCGAATGCGGTGGAAAGCGATAACTGAAATGCGTGATTTGATATTTTAATGTTGTAATATATTCAAAGTTAATTCAATCTAAGTGTAACCTAATAAAAAAAGAGGGAAATATATCGCATTGATTGAATAGCTCTTCTGTTACAAATTGGAATTTGCTAGTTACAAATTGGAATTTGCTATTCATTAAAATATAAGTTTAAAAAAATAAGAAAAAACACTATTTTTTAAAAAGAAGAATCTTTTAAATGTTTTCCATTTTGGAATTACTTTTAAGATTACCAATTTAATACTTTGGTGTTTGACTCAGTAGTTAATTAGTTCCAGCCAAAATTGGTATGTAATTTTTTCTCGAATTCTCGTTCATTTGAAGTTGTCCTTTCTTCTATCAAATCTGCCTAAAAAAGTTTTTACTGTGTCTTGATGAGAACTTAGGAAGGAAAACAAAAAGATTGTGCAGGTAAGAGTGGAATAAATGCCTCGCTGATGAGATTTTGCATAATCAAATTTTAGATAAGCCGAACTCCGAGAAAATTTTGTCCGAATATAAATTATTTATTTGCGGAAGATCACGAATCAAATGTCTTGAGATTCGCAGAATTCCACAAATTAGCGGTATCACATGCCTGATAAAAATTTGATTACTAACAGAAAAATTGGAAATAAAGCAGTTTTCTATATCATTACATACCTAAAATAGGTGAAAAATACTTCAAAAAATAATATGCTGGCTTGGTGCCTCTGTTTTTGATAAATTACATAAATCAAAATAACAACAGACTATATGTTTTAACTTGAAAATAAAAGATACAAGGAGACTAAAAAAGTGAATACAATTTTCAAACAAGAAAAATACAGATTTAGAAATTTAATGTATCCTCAATAAATAAAGTTACGCAGATTATGATCATAAATTACAACCACCTAGGACAAGTAGGACTTAAGATAAGAATTTAGGGGGTCATGTCTCTTCCTTAATTTTAATGGGATTCAAGGTGTTTTGCATTTATTCTGTAGAAACATCAAAGAAAATAATGGTTTAAATAATTGCTTAGAAACTTTTTTAAAAAATTAAATGACTAAATTTCGATTGCTATATTAGAATAAAGTGCTTATGTATTAATAAGCATTAAAATAACATTGCATCGTTAGAGTAGCAAACGGGGCTTTATGTATCGAGCGTTATAATAGAAGGGTTATTATAATGAGGGTTGTACTTAATTTAATGTGTTTTATATCAGGCAACTACTGAAGGAGAGTCGAAATAAAAATCTAAAAGCAGATCAGCGCACATTGAAATAAAAATCTAAAAGTAGATCAGCACATTTTCTCACTAACAAAGTTTATTAGCAAAGTTTATTAGTTCAAAGTTTATTTCTCACTAACAAAGTTAAAGTATATTAGATACAGAACTCAATCAATCATTGTAATATTTAAAACATGTAAAAGCTTACCATTCATTTTGAGGCATCCTCCTGTCAAAAACTCGCACTGTGCCATCTCCACAACCAGCTGCAATTAAACTGGGGTGTTCAGGTGTGGATGTTAAACAGGTTAAGCAACTGTCAGCTCCTGTAGGAATGTCCTGCAAAAAATAAAAAAGTAAATTTTACTTATCTGTTTGAAAAATAATGTACTCAACTAGTGCCTTAAACTGGCAGTTCCCAAAAGGTATTCTGTGAAACCCTAGGGTTCCATGGAATTGATAGCCGGGTTCCTAAAGTTAGAGCTCTTTATTTTTTTAAAACCTGTAATGATTTTTGAAACCTATGACTATGTTTGCAGTTTGCATTCAATCCATAATCTATAATTTGTTAAATATTTAATTTATTTTTATTAAATTATTTTATGATAAAAGCAATAGAAAAATTTGAAAAAATACATTTCTTAATTAAAAGATATTAAAAAAGGCATATGAATTTATAAATAATTGCATCAGTGTTTCTCAATTCAAAATAAAATAATAAAACTCAAGAATAAAGAATTATATATCTCTGATAACCATTCTCACTGTTCATAAGTAGTTTTTTTTAAATCATAATTTGTTTATTTTAGACAATTTCATCTCGAGTTAGGATTCTGGAAAATTCATCATATCATTAATATTTAAAAAAAAGATAACTGATATTTTTTTTAAATGAAAAAGTATACTGTTTTGAATAAAGGAGATATAAGTCAGCTAATTTTAAAACATTGAAAATTTTGCTATGGAAACTTGATGAACCATCAACAGGTAGTTCTCTATTTTTTTTTTTTTTTTTTTTTTTTTTTTTTTTTTTTTTTTTTTTTTTTTTTTTTTTTTTTTTTTTTTTTTTTTTTTTTTTTTTTTTTTTTTTTTTTTTNATGGTTGAATCCAATAGTTTATAAGCAGATGTGAACTTATTGACCAAAGAAAGGTTGCCAATTATTTTGAAAAGATTTAAAGCGAAGAATGAAATTTTTTCATTGTTTTATTAATAATCATCTTAAAATTAGCTTTCATGTCAGACAGTTGAATTCGAAGTCTGCAACAACATCTAGTCTAGTTTATTTTTGGAGCAGTCATAAGCTGATTAAGAATAAATAATCTTAACTCTGAATTTTGTTGAAAGGAAAATAAAAAAGAACTTTTATAGATGTTGAGAATGGTTATCAAGATAGCATATTTTTTCATAGTTGAAGTTAGCCATTTTATTTCGGATTGAACAGTTAGGTGGTAAATACAAATGGAATTTTAAATTTATAGAATTAATCAGAATATTTATCAGAATATTAAAAAGTAATCAGAATATTAAAAAGTAAGTAAGCAATAATATCGGTTCAATATACATATAATTACAAGATTCAAAAATCATTACAGGTTAAAAAAAGTCCTAACTTTTGGGATCCCTGTAGCCCTATCATGAAATCCTAGGGTTATATGGAGCACATTTTTTGAGAATTGCTGCGATAGTGTACATGCTAGAGTCATGAAAGAAGTATGAAATATAACTTGTCATTTTCAGTTTTTTTCATTGCAAATTTTTTTTATTAATATATTTACTATCTTTAATTTAATTGAAAGAGTTTTAAGAAGTTTTTTACAGGTAAAACAAACTCTTTTGTGAATGTAAACAAGTGACATTGAATTAATTTTAACCAAAGTTGAATACCTGAATTTTAGTTTCTTTCTCTGCATCCCAAATTCTAATATGTCTCACATCACCAGAGGCCAACAATTTTTGAGATTGTTGTTCCCATTGTAGTATCAAACCAGATCCTTAAAAAAATGATTTAATAAAAATAAAATAACATTATTAGCTATTAATTTTCAATTTAAAAGAAATTGAACAAAAATATTAAAAATAATGTGCAAAATGACCTTATAAATACCATATTCTGCTAGGTATGAATATAATGAAGAAAACACATCGTAATTAGAAATTACCATTTTAAAAATACAATCTAAATTTTACACAATTTATGTTTTAGTTGACAGTCAAATTTAAATAGCTTTTTAAGAAGCCATAGTTTCAAATAGAAAATTTCAAGAAAGCTAAGAAAAAAAATTCTAAAACACTCTTTGAACATGCAAGTAAAATTTAGATATTCTTTTGAACGCAGAAAGTATCCCATTCCTGGCCCAGTTAGAACCATTTTTTAAAATTAAACAAAAAAAGCTGTTTTTTTTTATTCTGTTAAATATTTTTTGTTTAATTTATTAAACTTAGTACCTGTATTACAAGGAAAAAAAACTTAAAACTGGGTTGAGCCACCCTATTGTATTTGCAGTAGCCAGTGTTCAGTTCTGTAGCCTTGTAATTTTTAAAATAAGTCAGAAGACAGAAGATCAAGGATCAAGCATTGAAACAAGCTAGTTTTCATAGATAACTTTTTGAGAACTCCAGTGTCACAGTTGGTTAAAGCATCGCTCACACCATTAGGGAAGAGCTGGTGGAGGGCGTGAATTAGATCCTGGCTGTCAACAAAACAACCGACACGTGTGTGCAGCAAAGTGCGTGTGAAATCTGTTGTGACTTAAAGTCCTCGGCACAGGTTTTGCTCATGTCACCTGACTAATGTCAAAATTATGTGGCACTCCTATCATGGTTGTTAAAAGATAGAGTCCTGAAAAACTTGGCTAGGTGCATTATGGCAAGGTGGTATGTGCATTACTTTAAGTAAATCTAACCTCTATTTACTTAAAAGGAAGAGGAACATCATTTACAGTTAGCCTACCCATATGGGAGTTGATTAATTGAAGAGCTTCAGTTTAATAAGAAAGGAGCTTGAATCAGTTATACTACAGAAAAATTAAGAATATGAATAGGGGCTGGCCATAACTGACATCACGCTTGAAGAAGAGAAGTTGTGACAATTGTGAGGGATGGGTTAACAAGAAGTGTGACAATGCACATTTTGGTCAAAATAAAAATATTTAATGTCATACTTGGAGAATAAGGAGAGGGTTGCTGACACCGTGACAGTTTATGACAAGGGTGAGGGATAAGGTAACAAGAAGTACAACAATGCACATTTTGGTTAAACAAGATGTGTTTAACCAATGGTCACCAATTTATTGGCGTTTAACCAAAATGACATGACATTAAATATTTTTATTTTAACCAAAAATGTTAATATAACAAGATGTGTCACAACGAACATTTTGGTTAAAATAAAAATATTTAATGTCATGTTTGGAGGAGAGGGAAGGGGTTGATGACACTGTGACAGTTTGTGACAAGGGTGAGGGATAAGGTAAAAAGAAGTGTGACAATGCACATTTTGTAAAAACACTTAGTATCAGCGTATTAAATACTTTAATATTATTTTCATAAAAATAAGTACACAAGTAATCATTATTTTAGTTATGTAGATAAATGTCATTTGGTCTATTACAAATGTCTTGTTTATGAACTGTCAGTAAAACTTTATGTAAAATAGCAAAACACGTGACAAAAGAGGAAAGGTGAAATGTGACATGTAGTGACAAAAGAGAGAAGGGGGTTAAAAATGTGACATCATTTATAAACACCCCTGTAACTAAGAAATTTGGCAAATTTTCTCACTGTAAAAATACATTAAAGAAAATACAATTTACTATAGTAAAGCTCATCGACGTGTAAATAACATCGATTGCATAAAATGTANATCTTCACTTCCCCTTTCTGGTGATTTATGGGTTCTATGCATAAATCAGAGGTTCAGTGCAAGCTAGAAAAAGAGAAAATTTGTCAAAAGATTTTTTTTTTTTTTTTTTGGAAAGGGGAAGATGGAGAGATGTTTGTTTATTTTGATTGTTAAAAAGTGTCCAGGAAATCGACCCTTCCGGGAAAGGGAAGTCCGGATATGGGACGTTACACTGTATATGGTTTTTGAAATTTTAAATTCCCCAGACATCAGATAGAGTTAAAAAATATATTTCAGTGCAAATCAAATTATGTCATAAAATTTTAATTATAAGATTTCATATATATAGAAGAATTTATTTATATATGGTTCAGAAACAAAAATTTTTTCTTCTCAATAATTTTAAGAGACAAAAGTTTAAAATAAATTAGCTTAATTATGAAAATTTTATTCTCACAAAGTATGAACTATTTTTACCTCTAGTTGAGGGCAAGAGCTCTTGTATGATCTGAAAGGCAGAGATGAGTTGAGAATCACAGTCAGTATAATTTTTCCAAATTTTCACAGTTCCATCATCTGAAAATGTTTCATTATAATTTATTAAAATAATAAACAATTTAATATTTTCTAACACTGGTAAATAAATGTTTTTAATACTAGTCACCAGAAGGTTGTTTGCTCAATGTTGAATAACATCCTGTGTGATATTTGTGACACAAGTGTTAAAATAAATAAATAAAAAATTTTGATATCTCAAAAACATTTTTAACATGGTTGAATGTGTCTTTGTTTTAATGCTAACAGGAATGTATTTATAATTTTTATTAATATTTTGTTTTCTTGGAGACAATAATTACAGACAGAAATTATATGCCTCTTGCAAAATTTTTTTTTCTTCTACAAATTGCTTGTTACAACAGTTTTCAATGTCTCTAACAAAATTTCCTTTTGAAGAAGTTATTAACTTTATAATTAAGAAGTTTATAGTTCTGTGAATCCAGGTAACAGTTGGTTAATATTTGAACTTTAGTTCATGATTCAAACTAGGATTAACCACCAGTTTACTGGCATTGAAAATCAAATTAGTGAAATTGCAAGGTCTTTGATTTTTATAGCCAATTAAGTAAAGTTGTCAGGTTTTATACACAGTTAGTTGATTTTTGTTAGATAGCAAAGCAGTTCTTGTACTCATTGTGGCAAATCTCTCACGGATATTGTAAGCAAGTAGATATCACTTTAACTGGAAACAAAAGATAATATATTGAACTCATCAGCCAAAAGAAATAAAATGCTTTGTAGAAAGAACAGAAAGATGCGCAGCATCATTCTACGGCCCCAGTAACTGATAAAACGTCTATATGGGAAGGAAAATCCCGGAATATCTTTAAAATATTCATAAGGCAAGGATGAAAAAGTCAGCCATTAATGACTAGTTTTCTAGCAATAAGAACTTATATAGAAGGCATGGGATCATAAAATGAAACCACACATGTTTCCCCAGGTTAAGGAGGGAACATCAGAAGAGCGATTATCTTGAAAATTGCATGCTCTCTAAATAAATTGATATTAAACAAACATGATAAATATAAAAAATCTATATAGATAGTGTATAAATCTATATACATGAGTACATAATATAAAATCCAATATTTGGCTGCTTGTTTTATAAAACTATCTATTTTTTAGACCCTAATCAAAATAAACAAATGTCTTTTCCTTTATATATATATAATATATATGTTATCAGAAAATGTTTCTCATGTAATTATGACCGCAAGAGGAGAACTAACAGACTTTGAACCTAGAATGGTAGTTGGTGGAAGATGGCTGGAATATTCTATTTTGGAAATTGTGAAGGAATTCAACATTCCCAGATCCACAGTGTCAAGAATGTGTCAAAAAAACCTAATTTCAGGCATAACTTTCCCCATGGACAACATTGTGACCAAGAACCAGCGCTCAATGACCGATGTCAGCGTTAACAGACAAGTAACATTGTGTGAAATAACCGCAACCATCAATGCAGGACGTGTCAATTAGGACAGTGCGGTAAAATTTGGTTGAAATAGGATAAGGCAACAAACTCAAATGCCTTTTCTTGCATAACGTCAAGAAAGAAATGTATCTATAAAAAATCCATATTTTTTTTTTAGCATATCATAACTTTATACTGTTAAAGAAAAATGAACTTCAGTTAGAATAATCAATTATGAATAAGATTTAAGTTGAATATTAATAATATTTGAAAGAAACACTTGCAGACGTTAATAATTTAGTAATATAGTTTTGCTTTATTAAATAGGATATATTTTTCTTTCCAATCTCCTTGTTTTTCCAATGCTTTTATAAAAATCTGAATATCTGCACTGTTGATTCTTTATATCAAAAAAATTTGTTTTTATTTATGAAGGATAAAGTTTTATTCATTTACTTTTTAAATTTTTTTAAAAATATTTTATTGGCGATATTATACTAAATATTCTCTTGTTAATTATTTAATTTAATTAATAACAAAATGATATTGTATAAAAATTTATGTTAATTATAGTTTATTTAAAAATACTTTTAATCAATAACTTCATTTCATTAAAAAAAATTTATATATAAATAGTAAATGATTCGAAATATTGTTTCTGGAATAAAGATTTCTTACTTTTAAATATCAATAAATCTGAAACCAACTTAAACCGAAACACAGTAGTCACAAATTGAAATTAGCTCATAAAATGAAAGGAAGATTTTTTTTTGAAAGAGTTTCTTTTTCTATAAATTGCGAACATAAAGTATATCAGAAGTTGTCAAGTCATTTGCCAGAATCATATAAATTGTGATAAATCAAATGTTATCAATTGTTTAGCCTAAATTACATGAACTAGAGTTCTTTTTCCTCAAAATATCAATGTAAAACCCATATGAGAAGTTAGCATGAATAAAAATATGAAGAATTACCTGAACCAATCATCATCAATGTATTATCATGTTCATTCAGAAAATCTAAAGCTGTTATTCTGACATTTGGTCGATTATTGCAACTCTCAGATCGTAATAGATATCCTTTTTCCCAGTCCCAAATACTGCAAGAAAAGAAATGACAATCAATAATTATAAAATGTTTCGCAACATTAAACTAATAAAAATTCAACTATGTATCTTTAAAAAAGAGCATATATTTGTTTTAAAAAATACCCAATTCCCCTATATAATATAGAATAACAATTCAATCAATTCAGCAATTTTCTTTTTCATAATTTTTGTTATTTTGTTTTAAGACAAAAGAATTTTGAATAGATGGTGAATCCAAAGAAACTAGCCTGTGTGAAGTAAAAAAGGATAATTTTGAACAAAAATAGTTATATGTTACATTCAAAGATAAAATAAAACTTTAAGAAGATATTGTTTAAATTTGATTACAAAGATTTTTTTTATTTTTATTAGGTATTATCAGGGTTCCATAATAATTTAAATAAATTTCATACCTGTAGCAATCTTTATCCGTGACAACCATATGAGATTCATAAGGATGAAACTTAACTGAGGTAGGAAGATTGGTATTTTTATTAATGAAAATCTGTTCATCAAATCTGCCACCATTTTCTAAAAAAAGTGACATGATGCATTAAATGATCAAATAAAAACAGTAAAATAATAAACAACAAAAGTATACAAGTAGTTCAAGATAACTGAAAAATAATATATAAAATGTAATTTATAAGTTCTAGAATCTATATAGGAGACATAAATAACTAGACATGAATTAGAAAGACTTATTCATTTACTTAGGATATAAATGAGAAAGTGTATAAAATAGTTTTTATAAAGTATAAAATAAAGTTACTAGAAAACAACTAAAAACTTTCACATGAGAAGATGGTTCAGAAAAGAATTTTATTGGTTTATGTACCTACTAAACATTTTTATGAATAACCTGATTACTAAATCTGTCACTAATTTCTGAAAAATGCATTCTGTATAAAATGAGAATGAAATAATTAAATAAAAATACAATCAGTTCTGGACTATAATGAGTGATACAATAATGCAATCTATCTGTTGTGAAGTAACTACATATGAATTACAAATAAATAACTCAGGATGATTTAGAAAATCTTATCTAAAGTTGTACAGTTGTATGGGAAAATTTGACATACTATATTGCTACTGAAAAAGAAGATGATTAAAAGGTATTTAAACACTGCAAACCAACAGTCACTTTATAATGGCAAACAGTAGCTTATAAAGGGAAAAAATACTTAATACTTCTCAAATAAACAAAAATTAATATTTATTAAACCCTGATTCTTAGGATAATTATGTATGGCTGTGGGTGTTGGTTACTTACCAAAGGAGTAGAATATAAATTTCTGGTATTTGAATGGAGAGTTTTAAGAAATATTTATACGATTACAATGGAAAAAAATATACGGCAAATACTCTACAATCATGAACAGTACAAAAAATTCAGAGCCCAGCATCAGTTACAGAATTTAAGTTTGTCATTTTATTTTATAACTGGCATTGAACAAATCAACCAATTCTGAATTTACGACTATCAGTGTTCAACTCATTAGCCTTGCAATTTTGAACCCAACTCAGAAGACAAGGGAACTCTTAGATCAAGCAATGGGGCAAACCAGCCCTTGTGAAGGACTTTTCAATGGAATTAACCTGAATTTACGTTACATGGAGAGTAAAACTATGAAAGCCCCTCACATTAGCCTGATGGCAAGTGATTCTAACCTATGATCTATCTACCACTAAGGATATTTTACGGCAGCACTGTGGTCGGTGCAAGCCGGGAGCGGAATTAGTATCAATCATACACAGCTGGAAATAAAAAAAGGTCACCTGGGAGGCAAACACTCTTATCTCCTGAGCCATCACAGCTCTAGAAGTTTGTTGTTAGAGATAGCTTGGCCACTTACAGAGATTGGAACCCAGTAAATGTCTGACATTTGGCAAGTCCTGATGGGGGAGTGGATATGCCTGGCTATTGGCTAAGGTACAATGCTGAAGATAACTGCAACAGCCATGGCCTTCTTTAGGCTTTAGTACTTTATGGCAGCACTGTGGTCGGTGCAAGCCGGGAGCGGAATTAGTATCAATCATTCACAGCTGGAAATAAAAAAAAGGTCACCTGGGAGGCAAACACTCTTATCTCCTGAGCCATCACAGCTCTAGAAGTTTGTTGTTAGAGATGTCTTGGCCACTTACAGAGATTGGAACCCAGTAAATGTCTGACATTTGGAAAGTCCTGATGGGGGAGTGGATATGCCTGGCTATTGGCTAAGGTACAATGCTGAGGATAACTGCAACAGCCATGGCCTTCTTTAGGCTTTAGTGCCAAAGAAATCAATGCTAAAATCCCTCTACTTTGCTTAAAGTTATTTGCTTGTCTTCAATTGATAGAAAAGGAGATAGATTTTCACTAGAGTTTTAAAATTAGGCAAGTAACTGTGTCTGCTAACAAGTAATGGAATTTTCAATCCTGATAATACCTTAATCAGGTGCCACAGATTAACTTTGGCCTTGCAGACAAAACATTTTTTTCTAGTTTTCCCAACATTTTGTTTTCATTTTTTAAAACATAGTTTGACACTTTTAAGTTAACTGACATTTTTTACTTTGTAAAACTTTTAACTTCTCACAATATTTTAAACTTTATTATTAAGAACATTAAGTTTTTAGTCAAGTTTTTAAAATTCTATTTTTAATGCCAATTGGTAATTTAAATTTTACATAATTGAAATTTTACTGTTACAGAATTTTTAATTTTTCAATTAATAAAATTCAAACTAAGATTGTTTCAATTAAAAAAATCAAAGATACTTTTTTTAGTAGAGCAGTTATTTCATCATGGATTGTAGCATTAGACATTCTTGCCTTTTAAAATGTACATATATGCTTTAAAAATTTTACTATTTTGTTGTAGATCATTACAGAGATTTCGACTGGCGGACACACTAGTAACACAGTAATTAAAACTCATATTATGTAATCAAATAAATAAGATTTTATGAGCTAAGACAAAACTATTACTAACCTAATTTTTTTCGTTCTTCAAGAATACTTTTACGAATTGTATCATTGCGAAGATACATCCATTCTTTTTCTAAATATGTAGAGCTATCCATATCACTCTCATCAGTCTATAAATACAAAATAAAATTAATAAGAAAATGTTTTTTTTCTCATTACAATGAAGATTAAAGAATGAGTTTTTGACACATAAAAATAAGAAGTTTCTAAATAAATATTTTTTTAAAATCTATTTTAAATTATATTTAATTAGCTTATATTTAGTTAACTCATTGTTTAAATTTTTAAAAAATTTATTTAAAAATGAACTGTTGAAACACAAAAATTTATCAAAGATAACAAAAAAGAAAAAAAAACTTTTAAAAATTTTCATAGGTAGAAAAATTTTCTCTAAATATTAATCTACTACCCTAAAAGTTAGATCATCAATTAAAATATTAACACTAAAAGAGAAAAAATTGTATCAAATCGAAATTTAAAAATAAGCAAATTCAGTAAATCTTCTGCAAAAAGTGTAAAACATGACTGTTGTAATATTATATAATAAAAATAAAATTTGACTTACTTTGAGAAGGGGTTGACTAAAATATTTTGAACTCCAGGCTATAAAGTGTGTTTCAATTAAAGGATGTTTTGGTTCTTGAGTATCTTCAGATTCTTCACCACCCTCCCTAATCTGCACAAATTATTTATGCAAATATGTGAGTATATGAGAAAGATAAGCATTTCAATTCAATCACAGTATGACCTTAATATCCTGAAGATCTAAGACAATTTATGAAAAGAAAAAAAATTCATGATATACCTGGGAGCAGAATCCTCTAGCATGGCAGCAGGTGCTACAAATTATTATAACCTCTGTAGATTATTTTTTATTTAAGTTTAGTTAAATTAAGTTTAATTCATTAAAAAAACAGCAATAGAACTTTTTCTTTAATTAAAAAAAAAAAAAAAAATGCGTGCATTNTTAAAAAAAAAAAAAAAAAAAACATATGCATGCATTTTTACATCAATGGTTCCCAAACTTTTTGTGACAGGGAACTCTTGAAGATAGAATTTTTTCCTACAGAACCACAATCCAGTAATGATTCTTTTTTAAATTTATTAAAGTAAATATCAATTAAAAAAAATTATTATCAATCAATATATAGTCATCATTGCATCAGTGGTTATAATATCAATTATAACCACTGACAGATGATCAACACTACAATCTATTTCCTCAGGACTACGTGTTTTACTTTGAGTCAGGGCCATCAGGAGTGAATACAGGAGTAAATGGGGCATATTTAATGAAAGTATAATTATTTTAAATAAAAGCATGCTTATTTTAAATAAATATCCATATATTTGACATAAATTAAAATATTCTGATTTAGTATAAAATAAGTTAATTTTCTTTATTTTTTATCAGAGACACAATATTGAAAGGAAAATGAATAATATATATATAATAAAAGCCAAAAAATAGTATTTAAATAGCTCAAATGTTTTCTCTCTCTCCCTTTCTCTCATTTTTTAAAATTTTTTTTATTACAAAGTTATGATAATATCTTTCTTTCCATGAAAGAGCTTTATCAAAAGAAATATGATGAAATTTCTGATTTCATTCACAAATCATTAAATATTAATAGGAATTAGTGTAGTATTAGTATCTGAAGTAGATATTAAGAGGTCTATTCAAGATAGCAGAAATTGATGTCGAAAATAGACAATATGTGAAAAAAGAATACACTTTCAAAGCAAAAATGTAAACTTTAAGGTATTAAACACATACCTCAGGTCCTTTGTCAAAGGTTTTTCGTATGCGGTTAAATTGTGAAAAAAATTGATATTGCTGATATGGATTATTGACATCACTCCACCTCTGTCTGGGTTTTGAATGTTCAGGGGTTTGGTGAGATCCATTAGTGCGAGTGGGTGGCGATTCACCCCTGAAATTAAAAATTGTAAATGATGAACAAAAAATCAAATCATGGCATGCAGAAAGTACACTTTAAAACAATAATGGAAGCCAAAACTGTTTCTGCACAGTAAAAATATAAAATAGCAATAAAGTTTGTTGCTTACATTCTTATTTATTAGCATGCAACATCACAAAATGAAAATTAAGGAGGTAATTTATGCCTCAAATAAAACACAATTTTCACAAAAAATATTGCTTAGAGATTTTTTAAAATAAAAACAAAAATTTTTTAAAAAAAATTTGTATTATATACACAAAAGTGTTTATAGGGATATAATTAAAGTAAAAAAAATCTTGCTTTGGTACTTATCCAATATGCACATGCAAAATATAAATAAACTGATTTTAAAGGTGGGTCAAAACATCTGGCTTTATGTTTGTCGATTTATAAACACCATTAATTTCACTAAAACAATTCATTTTTAGAAAAGAAAAAATTTTCATAAATAATTCTAATTCTACTTGGTTTTAAATGTATACAATAAAAATATATGAAATATTTCTCAGAAAAAACCAAGATTACATTAAAAATTTCTTCTTAGATGAATAAGATACTATAGAATTTCAAGTGAAAATGTATTTTTTTAGTACAATTAAAATGCATTTAAGTTTAATACAAATATAAAAAAGGTTATTCATGGTCACATGTCTAAACTTATTCACTTTTCATTGTAATCATAAAACACAACAAGAAAACCTAAACACATATGTGTAAATACAAAAACATAATGATCTTTATTAAATAAAATGCATCTGAGCGTTACCAATGGAAATTATTTGTTGAACTATAATTTTCCGAACTGAGCGTAGTGTGAGATGTAAGAGAAATCAATGTTCTACAGTCTAGCTTTCAGAAGATTTTTTTTTATGACTAAAAGTCGGAGGTTGTTTACTGCTATGCTATAGAACAAATTTGATGGTCACAGGGTGACTAAATACAAAAATGATTAAAAACTGTTGGCCAGTCACAACCCGGCTGCCATTTTGTTGTTGTTGAAAATGCACTCCATGCTCATTTTATTATTAGTATTATTTAAAAAATAAATATGTCACAATATTCTGAAAATAACTAATTTTATTCTTGTTTCTTAAGATTTTTCTTCCTTTAGAAATGAACTTCGTAATATTCACAATATTTTGAGAAATACTTCAAAAGAAAACCTTGCATCACAACAATTTATTTAACTGTTTAAAAATTTCAATTTTTGAAGCAGCCACTATTAAAATAGCTACAACTGGCCAGAAACAAAATTTCCTAATAATAGCTTATACACCATGGAAACAAGAGTGTAACCTTTTCCAATGAGGGTAAGTAGTCAAGAATGTGCTCAGGTGATGCTTGTGAGACAGAGCATTTACAGCAAGTTTCAAATCACTTAATCTTTAGGCAATATATAGATCTTATGTAGTTATTGATGAGAGGGGTAATGATGATCAGTCCTAATCTGTTTCATTTAAGGCTCAAAGAAACTCTCCGGAGATAACTTTGTTTTGTTTCGGAGAAAAGCTCCATGAAAGTTAGAGGATCAGAGATCATTGGGGAATTACATGCATCTCCTTTGGCAAGGGAGTCTGCAACCTCATTACCTTTGATGTGAATATGTGAGAGAATCCACTGAAGATGGATATGATGGGATAAGGACAGGCGTTTCAGCATTTTAATAATGTTAATTCCACATGTTATGCAATGGCGACTGGCTAGGTATTGGATGGAGCTTTTGCTTTATCTGAAAGGATGCTACCAATGTCAAATGGTTAACCCCACACCCCTGAAATGATATCTTCTTATAACCACAGTAATCCTAAACACAAAAGTCTGGAGAAGTTCTTGTGAGAGCCAAAGCTTTTAGCTGTTAGAGAAGTTAAAAACAATTATTTTTAGAATACTTCTCAACTTTTAAAAACTATTAACAGTGGCAGCGGTTTGTTAATTTTCATAAAATTAAACTTACGCCAAAAAACTAGGTCTTCCAGAAGGGGACGATGGTTCGGACATGCAAGGCATTTTGCCATTCTTTGCACCATCTGGACGATGCATTTCACTAACCTGTAACAAACAACATAGCCATAATAAAAACAGTTGTTTAACAGACTATTTGTAAAAATATTTTATTTCCTAACCTTTTGTTTTATAATGTTCCCTTTAACCTTTTGCTTAATGAAATTTATTAGCTCTTCTGCAAGTTTTGCAACTTCAGGGAAAGGATCATTAGAGAGATTAATTAAGGTTTTCCAAATATTACCAAACACTGAAGCATATCCCAAAGAAGAAGCGGCTGTATAGGTATTGTGAATGTTTGAAGACATGCTGCTGATGGAGGTACTTGAACTGACCCTTCTCAGACGGTCAAGAGTAAGATTTAGACCATCAACATGGTTGACATCAAATGCTGCATCTACATGATTGAAAATATGATATATTTCATCAATACATTATCTGTAATCATTTTTTAAACATCAAAAATCAAAGTACAAAGTGCATACAAAAAAGGGAATTAGTTGAAATTAGTGGAAATAGAAGTAAAATAAATGTAAGTTAGTGAAATATTATTTATCAAAGCAGCAAAGTAATAGAATAAAAGCAGTGCTTGTTAAAATATAGATCCCAACACCTTAGCTTTTACAAAATAAATGAAAAAAAAAACCCTTAATCATTTTATAAGGCTAAATTCAGTGAAAATGTGCAATCTTTATCACGTAGTGTATAAATTTTTTGAAAAAGTGAGCATGATCAGTTTGACGTTCCGTAAGTTATTACAGGTATATTTCTGCATTAACTTTTTGTGGCATATTTTCCTTCCTTATTTTAATTCCCTTTATTTCATATTAATTTAGCAGAAATTTTCCTATAACTTTATCTTATGCTTTATGTGGCTATTAAGAAGATTTCAAAACACTGTTTACTTGAAATATTCAACATAAAAACATTTGTACTGGTTTAATTCCACCAAAGCATAAAAATTAATATTTATATATATATAGTATAAAAGTGAAAGAAATTGTTTATTGTCTCAAAATCTATTAAGGCCAAACTATAACTAATATTGATTTTTTTAATGTCTGACAGTAAATTAACAAGATTTCAGACAAAATATTTTAGCTTTTTCTATTTTTGTAGCCAAAATAGAGAACTGTTGTAATGATTTAAATATTTATGTCTAATTAAATTAAAAATAATAACTAAATTGAAAACATAATTCATTTTAAAACCTAATCAGAAAGGTCCTGGGTCATAACAAATAAAGCTGTCTTAAATTTTCTTGTCAAAACAAGACATTTCAAGAGAGCTATTTTTAATATATTGTTCAAAGTCAGAAAATATTAATTTTTTACATAATCAGTAAAATACAACTTTAAAACTTAAAAGATTAGCATACCTAAATCCTAAAAATATCAATCAAATTAAAAAAAATATAATTAATAAATTCAAAAATATTTTCTGATGTTCTGTCAAGTTTTATGGAGATGTAATTTTTAGAAATACTCACTGGATCCAGGGGAACCAGAGAGACTCATTTTCAAACGATCACGGGAAGATACTTTTCTCATTCCTATGTTCATTGCAACAGATGGAGGTACCTCTAGGAAGAGGAACAGTGAAAAACTATAGACAAATGCAATTGTTTTAGTTCAGCACCAGCGATAATTGATTAAACACAAATATCTTTAAATTATTGAACCTTGCTCCACAAGGTTAATCGACACATTGCACGATTAAAGATTAAGAAAAGTTATTGTCACAGCAGTTTGTAGTTGTAGGCTGTGGAAAAAAAAGTTGTAGAGGCAGATTTTTAATGATTTAACTTTATTTATTAAATTGTTGCAATGAAACTTTTAAAATCGCTAACTTTTATAACAACTTAGAGTGAATTCAAATCAATGGAGTAGATTTCATGCATGTAGGAAGCAGTTTACAAGTTAAAGAAAATACAAAAAACAGCATTAGACAAAAGCATATCCCAAAAGTAATAAAAAAATATTTATTAGATTAAGCAATAAGTGCATAAAAGTTTAACAAAGGAAAAAAATAAAAATGTATCACACTTGTACCAACAACTAATTAAGCATATTTTAGTTCAGCTATGGGCTTTTATTTCTTTTTATAAGAAAATATAGAAGCTTTAATTGAACATGATAAATTTACTTAATCATATCTGTATGAAAACTAAAAATAAAGTACCTCCATGTACCATTTTTGAAAACAATATGAGGACAATTAACTCCATTCTCTAGTTTAATTATTTTTCAACCTTGAGATGGTTTGGTATCGGACCTGGGTTCATTTTTGCATAATAACACTGGTTTTATTTCTCCATGCTACTTTATGGAAACCCAATTTTCAGCAGGGAAATGAATGCACAATTTCGCCCAAGAATAGTCGAAGGAAAACTTATTAATGTTTTAAAAGAAATTTTTTTTAGTCCAATGCTATATTTAAATATAATAATGCTATATTTAAATTTCTTCACAGCATATTTTATTCATTTTTTATCATCACCAATAAGAATACTTATATAACTTTTATCCTAAATCCATTTTTATTAGTAATGCAGCTTCTCTTAAAATTCAGAATTTATAATATAGCAATAAATTGTTATCATTTACTGAATCACAATAAAAATAATCATACAAAAATTCATAGTCTTATCAGAAACATGAAATAGATCTCCAAAATTGCATTGAGGTGAAATTCTGTTTGAAATTAAAATACAAGGATTTTAATAGGTTAATACTCTAGTACATGTTTTTAATATAGGGTAATAAAACTGATTAATGTGATAATTAGGAATTTCAAGATGTCTTCATTAACATTGGTGATAAATACGAACAATAATAAGAAAGTTAGTGATAATTAAATTATTGATTTTTATGTTGCAAGTGGTTTGATTTGATATTTTGCAAAGAGATGTCAATATCATCTAACCTCAAACAATTTTTTCAATGCTTATAACAAAAAAACTATTAAAAAAAAAAGAAATTTGAAACTTTGATGTCAGCATAAAAAGGAAATTAAAAAATATTGAGATTAATAAAATTTATAATAATATAAGAAATAAAAAAAATTTTTTTTTCAAATGATTAATATTTTAAATTTTTTTTTCTTGTTCTCTTCTTCTCTCTTAACAATTTTTTTTTATTTCTTTATTTTATTTTACCCCTTGTTTTGATTAAGCCTCTTTTCCTTCTTTGTTATTAGTTGACTTTTATTCCTCTTTCAAAAATACATAACTTTGTAGGATTTGGTAGAAGTTGTGAGAAATATATTAATAAAATCTATTCAGATATAAAATATGAATATAAATTAATCATGCTGATATAAATGGAATATAAAATAAATAGTATATAAAATAAATAGTATATAATATAAATAGAATATAATATAAATAGAATATAATATAAATAGGATATAATATAAATAGGATATAATATAAATAGGAATAATAAACAGGAATAATATTAGGCTATAAATAGAGAACTGCTTAAGTATTATCACAGGCATGCTTTTAGAAATTGATCCTAATGATTGTTAATAAATGCAATGAAAGATGGGATGCATAAAAAGTATATGTATATCAAACCTATAGGCAATAAATTTGAGGATGACTCTTTTGCTTTCTCTTCTTCAAGATATTGGCAGCCGACGGCAACAAATTGATTTTCAAAATTGATTAGGAACCACTGCAAAGCAACAACTACTTCCTAAAATAAAATCAAGCATTTGTTATAAACTTTATAAAAAAGTTTAAAAAACATTACACTTATCACTTTAATCTTAAATATCACTAGATTTCCAATACCAAAATCAATTTATTTTATTGCAATCTTTAGAACCAGGTACAATAGCAAAAGTGTTGAGCCATGTTGTTTTTTATTCTTTTTAGAGGTGAACCCTGTAATACTTTGATTTACGAAATGTTAATAGGTCAGGGGTCTCAACTCAAACTTAGGTCCATGGGCACCATGATGCTCAGTGATTGTTCTACATGTTATCGACGTCATGTGATTATGATAAATAGTTTTCAATAAAATGCATTGTGAATCAATTTTTCGCAACAATAAATTCATTTGAAAAAAAAAGAAAGAAAATGGAACGGGCTGACTTGTTTGAATTATAAAATGACTGGGAATTAAAAAATTAACACTGAAAAAATTCCTTATATTTTATAGGGTCAATCTAATAAATATAGGACATTATTTTGTGTAAAATAACACAATAATAACAATTAAATTTCTGTTTAAAAAGAAGTTTTTTGCCTACATTAAGCTATTTTCTGAACACTATATTTTATTTATCATATTACAATTCTAAAAAAAATTTAATTATTTAATTTCTGAAAATTTATTTTGTATTGCCTTTTTTTCATGACATGGGCAATCTTTCTCATTGGCACACATTCACACAACATTTATGCTTTCAGTCTTCAAGTAATCAACATCATGGACATACTTCAAGAAACTTATTTATTGCTAAGTTAGTCGGCTAATTTTCTATAGTCTAAATTTTAAAATAAAATCTGAATTTTTGCAGTAAAATGCTTACATTGTACCAACATTGAAGACAAAATAAATTTTAAACTTAAAATAAAATAGTACCTCATTTTACATATAATATGTTTCTTTTTCCTTCGATTAAAAAAATTATGGTACATTTAAGTTTGACGTCTAATATTTAAAACAAATCTAAAAACATCAACTTATGATTTAGTGACATGCTTATTGGTTGGTTAAAAGGTTCTTTACATCGCTAGTGGAGAGCAGGCACTGTTCACATTGTCTGACCAGGGTAAAAATTAAGTGGCATTTTGACCATGGCCATTTAAGGATAGAGCTCTAAAAATGAGGATAAGAACTTGGCTATGGTAGGGTGATATAGGAACTTGATAGTAAAAATTTGATAATGGCTCCCACAAAAAAAAGGAGAATCCCTTTATAGAATTTAAAATTCCTTTTAATGTTAATTTTTACTTGTCTAACAAAACAATTTCTATTTTATTTTTCAATATCAAAACAATATACAAGGAAAAGAAACCTTAATGTAGATTTGATAATTCTTCATTGATAATTTTAAGAATATTTTTAATTTATTTAAAAGTAAATAGCTTCATATATGAATGGATAATTAATAAAGATTAAATGCGATATTATACCTTCCTGACCAATGAGCTTCCATCATTGGAAACTTTGTTAATAAGCATCATACCAATATTATGGTCGATGGCATTTGCATGGTCAGTTCTCTCAGTGGTACTGTTTAAAAATGTTCCAAAAGCATAAACAGCAGCAGCTCTAACCTAAAATGATGTACAGGAGCAATCAACTTTAAGAAAAATTTGTACATTTTATCTCAAGAAATAAATATAGTATTACTACTAAAGCATGAATAAAGTAAGGACATACAATAGTTTTGGTTCTATGAGTAAGAACTTTCCTCAGTGTCTGAATACCAAACGACAGAAGTGTTAAAAAAAAAAAACGTTTCTATTATTATTCAGTGTTTAGACACTGAGGAAGGCTCTTGTTTATAGAACCAGAACTATAGTACAGAATTTTTGTACTTAATTAATGTTGTTTTTTACATAGGTACCCTTAAGTATACCCTACCTTCTTTTTCAAATATAATGTTGTTTAATAAATATAGTTTTTAAAAATAGTAATTATAATGAAAAAATCTTAATTTTATATATAAATTTATGAAAACGAAAAACTAATTTGATGGCACATGTTTTTAGCTTTCCTTCATAATAAAACCTTGATTATCCAAAGTAATTGACACTAATTTACTTCAGATAATCATTCTTATTTATGGTAAAAAAAAAAAGATTATTTGAATCTTATTAAAATTTAACATAATGAAACTCATACGTGTCAAGAAACGTTATTACAAGTATAGTTAAAAATCCTTTTCAATAACTTAAAAAACATTTATAATTTCACTACATTTAATGTTATTTATGACTGTACTGTTAGAAATAATGTATTTATTTTACTATTTATCAAAGCAAAATATTTAAAAAATTAAATATAAATAAAACAAAAAAAATTAATAAATACAAATGAAATAAAATTAGAGAAAAATAATACAAAATAGATAAAATAAAAATATGCAAGTTCTTTTCCCTAAAAAAATATAATTTACTTCAGGATCTGGATCCGTTAGCAGAGTCTCGAGTTTTTCATGAGCACTATCTCTAACTCCACACCAACGAGCAGGTTCATAGTTTTCCCACATGCGTCCTAAGCAAATCACAACCCAGAGTCTCAATTTAGGGCACGGGTCTGATAATTGTTCAAGACATGTAGACACTACACTACTTTGCATAGCTGCTACCTGTAAACAACAAGACAAACACAGTTTGGATGTTAAGTACAACAGGGAGAAAAAAATTCCACATTGATTCTAAAAATTGTTTTTAAAATTATAAAGAATAAATTTGAATTGTTAAATTTTCTTACATTTTACAATTACAAAGGAAACATAAAAATTAAAAGGAAAACTAAGTCAAAAATTGCTATTTAGCATTTCTTATTTTTCTAAAAAGTTTCAAAAAAATTAATAATTCTGGAATTTTATAGCTAAAAAATGCAAAAAAAAAAATTTTTTTTTCATATGTTTAGTTTAATCATACAGACATAATCCTTTTCAGTATTAAAATGGAGCAAAAGGAGTTTTTGTTCTTTTTCTTTATATATAATTTTATGACACCTAACCTAGTAATAAACAACAAAAAGCCAGGGGAAAAATCAATCTATAAATAGGACAGAGACTATTTCAAAAGACAGGTACAGAGAATACAGAGGCTTTTCATCCAATTTATGTATTGAAACTCCGCTAACACCTTTTTATCGTAATATCTATGACAAGTATTGTCACAAACTAAGGGAAAAGAAAGCAAACCCTTTCTATCACACCAGCAACTACATTTCAGGAATGTCTCAAATATTTCTAGAGTATTTTTTGTATTTTAGATTTAATTTCCTTTGTCTTTTTATATATTGATTTTGCCTAATACTTATTTCTTTCATATATTCTAACTTTAAATATTTTTTGTAAATAAAAAAATGTATAACAAAAATGCTTTGCACGAAGATAAAATCACGAATAATTTCTTAAAAACAAAATTAGGAAATCAATAATTACATTACCTGGCCAGGTCTATAGTTGCTAACAATACAAGAGACACAGAAAGCTGCCATTGTCCTATGGTCAGCCTAAAAAAATTCGAATGTATATACATAAAAAAGGATACAAAGGATTGCAGATTAATTATTTAAATTATTATTTTCAGTTTGTGAAATAAAAATAAAGGCTGATTGCACTCACTGGCATGTAAGCATCACCTAAAATGGCTAAGAAATATTTAAAACTTCCGTCGCGTACAAGATCACTCTGGCATGTCTAAAGTGGAGAAAAAAAGTTTTAAAACAAAATGATATAGGAATATTAAAATAAGCATTAGCATTAGAATATTATAATAAGTAGTATAAATATTAAAATAAGATATCATTACAAAAGATACTAACACTATCAACCGCTAAAACTTTTGCCCAAATGAAAACTAACAAGGGTCGCAGTTCTCTTGCTGAGCTTTGAAGTAACTTCAATACATAAGGAAAAATGCCAACTGACAGTGCCTGGAATGACAGAAACACTAATTACTAAATTATTAATTTGGTATCATAAATAACCATCAATAAATGTATAAAATGCTCATAATATTTAGAAATAATAACCAACACTAAATTGGTAAATGAAATGACAATACAGTATACTCTCGATATCTCAAACTTCTATATCTCGAAAACCTTGTTAAGTCAAAAAAATATTTTTTACCTTGGCATTACATATCAACCTAATGTTAATTTTAATTCCTATGTCGAAGAGTTTCGTCACAAAACCTTGCTGTATCAAAAATCTTACGAAATAGAATATTAAATTTTGCAGAAAAATCATAATGCAAGTTTATTGCAAACCAATTCTTTTCTATGTAATGCATAATTATTTTTGTTTTACTTTAAAAATTATCGTGGCTGTATTTAGACTTATAGTCAACTGTTAAGAGAAGGTATAATTTTATACTCTTGTATGCATAATTTTACACTTAACTTTTTAGATTAAGTACTATTTCAGAATATATTTTTCAACTTTTAAGAACATACTTAGTTCTGAGCTTATTATCTCGAAAACTCGCTATCTTGATACCTTTTTAGCGTCTCTTCACCTTTGAGATATCGAGAGTATACTTTATTTAAATCTAAAACTATACTGCAGTGCAATTGAAAAATAAACGTAAGCGACAAAAAATTTCAAATTGAGGTTTTTATGTATTTGGTATCTTTGTATGGTAAACTACATATTGCAAAAAAAAAATTTTTTTTTGGAAAAAAAGTTTGTTTTTATCAGTTTTTTGACTTTTTATTTTAGTGTTCATAGCATTAGCAATAAAAGGAAAACAGTCGTCAAGCCACTTTACTCGGAATTAATCGTGAAGCACTTAGGTTGTTTCTTCAATTGCATGACATTAAACAGATCAAAAATCAAATAAAAACGTATAATTTTAAACACAGTCAATTTGCAAATTGGGATAACCTGAAAAGACCAGCCTGTTTTTCCTGTTAGTTTTGGTTCCCAACTTTAAAATATTAACCATTGCCTTCTTGATATAAGTTTAATGAATAAAAGTAGTTTAAGAATATTTCTTTTTATGATATGATTTAGAAGAATTTCCTACTTTAATGCTATATTTTTCTGCTTCTATATCATTAATAAGATAAATTTATCGTGTGAATTATGAGTTTTTATCTTTTTGCTTAGATATCTTTAAAGATAAACATTTCCTCCAGCTCAAAACTCATTCAGAACATCATCATCATTGGCGCAACTGCCCAGGGTGGGACCTGGCCTTCTCAAGAATTCCCTTCGATCTCGACCCATTCTCAGCAATGGTTTTCCCAGTTTTACAGTTCAGTATGAGGAAGTCCTTTTCTACAGAATCAGACCATCTGAGTTTGGGTCTTTCCCTTTGGTTGATTCCTAGATGGTCAAGTCATAAAAATTCGTTTTGCTGTACATTCATCCAGCGACTGCATTTGCCATCAGGCTAAACGTGAGAGGCTTTCATAGTTTTCCTCTCCATGTAATGTAAATGCGGGTCAGTTGCATCAAAAAGTTCTCCACGAAGGTTAGTTTGATCCAATGCTCGATCCAGGAGTTCCCTTGTTTTCTGTATATGGCTCAAAACTACTATGCTTCAGAGTTGAAACTTGATAGAAACTCAGAATTGGGTCGGCTATTCAGCGCCGGTTATAAAATAAAATATACAATCCTCGTTTGTTATTGAAAATGGCAAAACACAAAATATATAATATAAATAAGTAATTATAACTTGCTAATTAATATCAAGTAGAAATTTTCATTAATAGTAAAAATAAATAAATAATAAAAACCACGAATTTGGAAATGAGAATAGCTTACCAAATTTACTGCCCATGGTCCTAAATCTAAAAATCTTCCAAGCAATTCTAAAGCTCTTAACCTATGAACTTGACTCAGGAGTACCTTTAAAAGAGATTTTTTACTTAGCGAATGATACAAAAATTACTGAAAAGTTGAGATTGATAAACAACTTTTAAAATCTTAGATTACACAAATAAAATTTTCACCTTACCTGTAACACAATAGGTAGTTGCTCAGGTACACTATCAACATTCTGTGTCATCGATAACCAAACATGGAATGCTGTAAGTTGCTCAGAGAAAAAGGGACTGTAAGAATAATTAACATGAAGAGGGTCTTTAAGTATGGCAGGTAGTTGAGCTAAGCATGTATCCACCGCTAAATCCCATGCCTCCCTAAAAGCAATTTAAATATTTCAGAATTATATTTATATTATAAAAACAAGCTTGCTAGGTAAAATATTATTATTTATTGTAATTCTTTTCTCTTATCACCCCCTACATTAAGTAACAACACAACTCAACTTAAAAATTTCTTGAATTTTATAACATTCAACATCTAGTTCAGTATGATGAAAAAAAAAAAAAAACTTCAATAAAAAACTTTGAGCGCAGTACTCTTGTCAATAGTTGTAAATGAAAGAGGATTTTCAATCCTAAACAGGAAAAAAATTAATAAAAGAGATAAAAAGCGGAACTGTTAAAAACTGTAATTTGAATATCAGCTAGGCATCATTTGGTAATGTCATTAAATTATGGAAATTGTAAAATAATGAAAGACATCAAAATTTTAATGAAGATTATACATTTTATTCAAATTTCTAATTTTTCTTGTACAATGAGTAATTCATATTTTCTTTTTTTCCTTAGAAATGTGTAAAAAATCAAAATAGTAAACATAGCTTTGCAACTTGTTATTATACCCCAGAAAGTTCTTTTCCCCCTTTTTTTTATGAAAATAGTCTCTGTAATCTAAAATGTGAAATATGCTTTCATTATTTTCAAATTCAAATCATCAAAACGAATTTCACTCCACCAAAAATATTTTTACTCCATGAAGAAAAATAAAAAATCCCAGCTACAACTCTGGTTTCTTTATTCCATATCATATTCTTTTTAGTTAACCACTGTACTGAACTAATGTTGTTAACTGTGCTTGAATTAAAGGGAAAAAAAAAATTTTTAAGATTTGATTTTCAACCTAAGTTTTAAATAATTTAATATATTTATAGACTTTTTAACAAGCGAGTTTGTGCACATATAGAAATTAATATAAATCTTGATAGTTAATAATGAATTAATGGAATTTAAAATAAACTTAACACAATCATATATAATTTTTTTTAAAAAATATTAATTTTTAAAAAGTGTTGCAGACATCAATTTTTCCTCAAAACAGATATACAAAAAACAAGACAAAATGTCTTTCAAGAGCATTTTAGTTTCTTTTCTGACATAAAGTTCATAAATTCAACAAATTTTACTGAAAATTCCAATGTATTTAAATTTACAAAAACAAAAGAATAATAGAAAAAAAAAGTATTTTATAAATGATTTGAAATAATTTTTATTAAAAGTAAATTTATTGAAGGAAATGGAAATTCCTTGATATTTATATATATATATAATTTTTTTTTTTTTTACATTAAACTAAAAAATTTGGCTAACATTTTTTTAAAATTTTTTTCATACTTTACAATTTTACAAAGGAAGGATTGCACTTCCGGTTCCTATTCTCATTTTGAAGTAAAAATAAACCAAAGTAACAGCAAGCTTTTCTTACCACATATGATGATGATAAGTAGATGGCAAAGGTGGATTAGACACAGGAGTACAATTATAAAATCTCATTATTCTTTCTGCAAGGAGAAAATTTCGGAATAGACTTGCAACTAAAAGATCTTGGCGAAACAAACGCTGGAAGGTTTCTTTTGGTAGCACATTCCATGCTATAGTGTCAGTGATAGCTGTAAATATCCAGTTTAATTCACCTAACATGGTTCTTCTATCTGACACTTGACCAGGAATTCTGGAGAAATAAAAAAATTATAAAATTGAAATTAAGAATTTTTAATAAATAAAGATAATTTAATAAATAATAATAAATATTAACTTTTGAAAATATTATCCGATCCTAATAATAAATAATAATAAATTAATAATGAAATTCATAAGTAAAAACAAAAAGCCTATGATAATGTTTTAATTCCACTTTTCTCTTGCCACCATTATAGATTATGGTGGCAAGAGATAAGATACAAGAATTAATACAATAGTGATGCCTTAATGAATCTGTCACCCAAAGGTGCCCATCCATCCAATATTTCTTTTTTTTTTTACGAAAAATATTCTTTTAAAATTGTTTAATATTCAATGAGAAGGTTGAGTATTAAAGGTAAATTTCTATACAAATAATTCAAATCCACACTTGTTTGGCTAATCACAAAAACCATCTAGAGTATTTTCTGTAAGATGTATGAGAATGAACATAAAACAGACAGAAGATTTGGAAATCTAAATGCTGAAAAAGATTTTACTTACAGAGCACAATGGAATAATCAGGATTGAACTGCATAAAAAAAGGAAAACAATCTAAAACAAAATGTACTTACTGTTCAATTATGTCCATAGTTATTTCTGGCAACAGTTTTTTACTGTTTTGCAATACAAACCTAAAACATTTAAATGCCCTTATCAGAAAAAAACTTTGATATCTATGCATTATCTGAAATAATAGCTAAGTAGAATTAAAGGATCTTAAAACTAAACCCAAAGAGAATTATATTTTAATCATAGATTAGCCCTTTTAACAGATTAGAATTTTAAATAATCTTTTTCACATAATAAAAGAAGCACTTCGCGTAAATATTATTGTTAATTAGCTAGAAATGTAATCTTTATCCCTAAAATGAATCCATGCTGTGCATTAAAATATCGTCTTGATGTCGAATTTACATTTTATTTAATCAATATTTTGAGATTTTAATACATCTTCATCCGGCATTAGGATTACTTATTACTGTTTCAACCCTAACAAAGAAGTCTGGATATTATGGATCACATGACATGAAAGAAATAATAACATAAAGAAATAAAACGTTATTCTTCAGAGAAAAATTTAAGCTCTAATAAATTTTTTATCACTTGAATAACATAAACATAAATTTATACATAGAGGGAAATCAACATAACACAGATTTATTAAATTAATAGAGTTTTGCTTTTATAACTTCACTTTCAAACACTTACAAAAAAAGCCGAAATGAGAAAAGAATTTTGTAGAAAATAAAATGAAGATTTTTTTATCAATGTTAACAATTTTATTACAGACTACAACAAAATATGCTTAGAAACATTGACAAATAGAAAAACCTACCATTTTAAAGCCACTTTTACAGGAGTCGTGAGGCAGGCAGTAAAAAGATCTGCAGGTAAATCTGGGTTCATTGGAAGTATTTGAGTAGCTCCACATGCAGCTAATTGTATACAGGAACTATACGAAGGCATGGGCGGCCCGTCGTAAGGAGTCTTACTATTATTCACAATCAGCTAAAAATTATTTTGAAAAAATTATAGCATAAAACAAAGCAAGGGAACATTAGGAAGATGTGATATAATGTACCTCGAATTCTCTTTCATGTTGAGTAGCAAATTGTTTAAAAGATTCAACAATAAGTCCAGCGCAAGAGCAGTCATATACATAAATTGAGGGAGCACCCATCCATTGTTGAAGATCATAAATAGAAAGTGGTATATATTGTGTATATGTCTAAAATATAGATTGAATAATCAATGAATGCAATGATAACAATAAGATAAAAAAGTAATATAGATTCACAACAGATAAGAAATATTTTTTAAATATGTTATGCAAATGAACTAACACATAATGAATTCGACATGAAGAACAAACACAATGAAATCTCGATTACCAGAAGCTCTTTTTATCTTTACATTAGTGATTTCAGTTAACAAAAATCAATTTATTTCTTTTTAAAAAACAAAAACATACACGTTTATTTGTTTTTATTTTATCAATTTCTATATGTTGTCGTAATTTAGGTTAGGTCATATTTGGACAAATAAGATGCTACTCTCAAAAGATGCAAAGTAGGTTCAATCCTTGTTACTTTCAGACACCTAGAGCCTTTGTACTATCTCAAGCAAGCTTTTAAAATACTAGAATTCTTATTTTTATATTCAACGTATGTTTTACAAATTAGCAAAATTTTTCTTAAATAAGCTCATACAAAAAAAAAATTCAAAAAAGACTAATGCATGAAAGAACTAAAAAAATCAATTGAAAAAAAAAAAAAACAGCTTATCATTCATTTCATTTATAGAAAAATAAAAGCTTATTCTAGTTTAATGTAGGCAGAAATTACAGTATAAAAATCTAGTTCAATTCAACTAGTATGATTCTTTTATCAGATACTTGACCAAGAATTCTGAAGAAATTAAGGTTATAAAATAGAAAATATGAATTTTTCATAAGTAAAGACAATTTATTCCAATTTTATATTTAATACTGAAATAAAAAGTTCATCTATACATTCACTTTGTATTTTTAATGAAAGCAATAAAATGTATACATAAAAAATAGCCATTATTTTAAAGGGAACATTAATAAATTAATTAGCAAGAATTATTTAATAAATTAATTCTTGTATCAATGCACAGAATTGGGTATTTTGAAAAACAACTTCAAAATAGGAAAATTACATAATAACTATTTAGGTTATCATTAGAGCCCGGAAGTTCAGGCAAAATGCCATAAATGCCCTTTTCTGCCTTTTTTAAATGTTTTCTTCTTAAAATGCCTTTTTCGTTCCTTTTGTTCATAAATGCNATACCTTGGATACCTATATGGGCTTTTAGGCATTACCAACTACCATTTTGTTCCAATTTTAAGTGCCTTTTTTAAGTGCCTATTTCAAGCTTTTTAAATGCCTTTTTGCCTGCCTATTTTTGCATTTTTTATTGCCTGAAATTCCGGGCTTTAGTTATCATAGTAATAACGTCTGCCGACCGGCCTGTGTACGGAGCAGGGAACTGTCGTTGCATCAGAAAGGTTCTGGGTTCGAATCCCGGGCAAGGGCCCTACCATGAACTACCGGGAATGGAATGAAGATTCCCGGCTGGAAAGAGAAACTGTGAAAGTTTGGTTCCATGAATGTTCAATACCGTACCATGAACACTTCCTTGGAATCAGACATTCCACGATAACTCGCTCTCAGGGCGTTGCTAAAATTTAACCAATCACATAATTTACTTTAGATTTTCTTTTTGAGTTTGGCAGCATTACCATGAGTAAAACGAAACAAGCTTCTGCTATTTAGATAATATTCTTGACTACTTATTGTTTTCTTTTTATAATGTTTTTTGTTTTCATTAGACTAAAAAAACATGAACTGCGAATACTTTGAAATATTCTTCAATTTATTATACATATAGTTTTATTAATTAAAAACTATCATATTTATCATGTATAATTCATAAAATAAAATCCTTTTTTCATAATAAATATTTCTGATATATCCCTTAATACGTTTCATTATTTATTTTAAATATTTTTTAAAAAGTACAATTCTTGAAATAATGATAATATTTTAATGTGGATAGATTACTAATTATACTAGTTTTTAAATCAAAACTAATTGCCAGAAAGAATTCAAATTTTATCAGACAAAAAAATTAATGTTTACCTTGATCTCTTTGAAATTAATTTAATTTCAGAAAAGTTCATTAGTTTTCAATTAAATTTGTAACAGTACGAATGACTAAAGTTACTACTTTGCTTATTACTTTGGTTTATTTGTTACATTATAAAAGTGACTGTTTTTACTAATAGTTAAATAAATATGTTCACAAGAAATTAATCTATAGAACTGCGTAAACATTTTTGTCGTGATTTGTAAAATCGTTTTACGTATGAAATACTTAAAAATTATAGTTTGTGGAACTACTTCCGCAGCTTTTATAGTATATATTTTAATGGAAGAATGAGAATAAAAATTTTTAAAATGAGTAAAAGAAGAAATAAATACAAATTTCATAAATATTTTTTGAAACATTTTTATTCTTTTTTGTATTTCTTATAATAAATAAATTGTTTACTTTATAATACATCATGCCTGTAACAAATTCTTTTAAATGTGCTGCCATTGGTGTATAATATAAAGAACTATTGTTCGAAAGGAAGTTAAATATTGTTGAACAAAAAATTTATCGAAAGAAAATTAAAAAAGAAATGATTTGAACTTCAAAAAAAGGTATTGGCCAAGTAATATATCCCGTAATAATAACATAGAAATAGTAACAATTATCATATGAGAGCATAATTATTTTTAGTTTGCCGTAATTTCTTAGTTAACTCTGAAAGTATCTTTTCGTTCACACATACTAATGAAACATTTCTCTTTTAATTATCGTCTTGAAAATGGCTCGGGCAAGTTTATCTTTTAGAAATTTTGCTATCTTCTCTTATGAAATAGAAAAAAATTAAGACATTCATCGACGAAATATCGTACTTAGTCCTTAAAAATTCATCATTCCCTCCTTGGAACGAAGATTCTAGGTGCCGGAGACTGGTTGGAATGAAACCGGTACCAATTCCAGCCAAGGTGTTCGTGGTGGGGAAAAATAATTCCCGTTGGAACGTGACGTCATTCCCAGATGGAATTTCATTCCATGGAGCTCATGGTAGGGTTCCAAGGCATGGATGTTTCATTCTCTCTATCTGTGTTTTATGTCCTTTCTCCTTTGTGTGTGAATGTGATCCGCCCTATAAACGGGTTGTGGTAGTGTGACGTGGGCGACGCTGCTCCACCGCCGTGGCCACAGGTGCCTACTGGGTAACGAAAAGAGAGTTAGCAGTTCTGGCACTTTCTGTGGCCAATGGACAATAGTTCCAAGTGTCCACCATTAAAAAAATAAAAATAGGTAATAACGTCGTAAGAACAACACTCAAAAACAAAAAGTTTTTTTCATTAAAAAAAATAATATTTGCATCCTAACATTTAACATAATGAAACTAAAATAAAAAATATTATTGTGTAAAAAAAATTAGCAAGATGTCTATTTAATTTTAATTCCAAAATTTTTTTTAAGAAATATATAAAAATGAGCAATTTTTTTCTCAAGGTGGTAAAATCGAATGAGTAATAAAAAACCATGCCAAGCGTAAATTCATGCACAAAATTTCAATAATATTCTAAATAAAAAAGAATGACACAAACTAAATTTCACCTTATTAAAAACCCATATTTCACCATTTGCTGTGGGCTTTGGCACACCATGTCCATTATAATGAAATAAAACTCGTTCATCCTGCAATAAAAAGATATCAATGAATGAAAAATTTTCTTATTTGCAATATGCAAGCAACATTTAATACAAAACAAGCAATTATGAATAGTATCATATAATATATTTTTAATTAGTATTGTTAAATAGGTAAAAAATAAATAATAATAAAAACAGCATAAGAAATTCAAAGCTGATTTATATTTTAATGCTAAATCATGTTTTTATAGCAAAAACTAATTTTAAATTTAGAATTGGTTGCAAGCTATACTTAGATATAATTTCTTATGTAGGGTTAGTAAGTAACATTTCTAAACTAACTGAAAACTAGTTTAAATATGAAAAATATGAAAAAAGGTAATAAATTTTTTTTTTTCAAATTCAAAATAGAAGAAATACTAAATATATAACGAGCAGTAAAAATTTATATGTACATCACTTACCTTTGCACTACGTCTTAAAGATGTGCATAGCCGTTTGACTTCATCTACAGTAGGATCAAGACTGTGTTTATATCTAGCTCTTGGCTGCCATTTTTCATACTGCTTTTGTAAAGAAGCAGCTATTGAATCTAAAGCTTTCTGAGGCACTAGGGAAAGTGGATCTAAAAAGAAATGTTTTAAAGACAAATAAGCACAATAATTTATACATAAATAAATTTTTGGGTAATAAATTGAAGAAAAAAAATATTACAATCAAACTCAGCTTTATTCTTTCAGATAAAGGTGTTGTATAAGCATGTATAAGAAGAAATTTGGCAGTATTCTGAGCAGAGCAACAGATGGTGTAGAAAGGCTACACTACACTCAACAGCAACTGTTGCAACATAGAGCTTTTATAGTGGTTACAATGCAGCTCTCATAAGGACGAACTCTAGTTATAATTTTAACTGATAAAACTATAATTTGTCATGTAAGATCTTTCAAGTATCTAAAGATCGATCTGCCTACTATCTGCGGAATTTATATTAGATATAAAGAATGTTCTATCACTACCTAGAAAAATTTGAATAAGGTTTATGCAATTATCAATATATTTTTTTTATTATTATGTTTATTTTCAATTCCTTAAAAAAGTGTGTTTGCTTCCAAAATCTATTTAAACAGCTAAAATTATTATTATTATAATTATTAAAAGAAAAAGGAGATAACAACTTTTTGATTAGCAGGAGGTAGATGATTTTTTATAGATTGTTAAAAAATAATGCAAATTATGGTGGGAAATCAAGGGTCTGTCTAAGCGAAATTTACTACCGTTTAGCCGTACCTTCACAAATTCAACTTTAGGAAAAATGGTAGTTTCACAAAATACTTTTTCTTAAAATTTTATGGGGGTGCCATCCCCTCTGCAGAGGATCAAAATTGCAATGGCATGTCTTTGGATCATTCTCAGAGATGTTTCCCAGACCGTCGCCAATAGCCAATTGTGCAGCTCTAGTGCGACGTAAATGATCAACAACAACTTAAACATTTTATTTTTGTATCCTGTAAGAAACGATAAATCCATATTTTGTGTTGATTTTTTAATATAATTTTAATTTTCACAAATTATGTCTAAATTTTGACAAAATAGGTCTCTCAGAAAAACCTACACAGACCCTTGGGGATCAAATGAGTAGATGTATTGGATAATTGTAGCTAAACAGTTATGAATCGTTGATTAGAAATAACGTAGTAAATATTTTATATAATACTTCTAAACACAGTGTTTTCTTTTGGTATTAAATGGTAAAAAATAAGGCATCTTTACGTTAAAATTTTAAAAGCTTTCACTCAGAGTTTCTTTTAAAACTAATATTATTGTCTTATTTATAACAAATATTTGGAACATTATTTAATTAAAAACAAATAGTCGGGCTATTAACAAGAAAGAAATATTTAGAATAATACTTACCTATCCAACATTCTAGTCTGGAACAAGGCTGAGTTTTGACTATATCTGGTGGATCTACTCCAACATTTAGGCACAAAACTAGAGCTACACTCACAGTTTTCATCTAATTATGAAAATTGTTACAATTAGGTGATGGATAAAAAAAATAAGATTAATCACATTTCACTAGTTGACATAAAATCTTAACAAAATTTATCGTTTATTATTAATGAATTCCAGATATAGACTATAAACAAAAAAATAAAATTATCACAAAACTAAAATTTATAATTTTTCACATAAATTTTAATTAATATTTTATAAAATACCTAGCATCATGGGAACTTATCAATAGAATGTAATTAAAAAAAAAAGAATACATTTTTAAACTACCCAGAAATTTTTTTTATTGGTAATGGCTTTATCTATAAATTACAGTTTCATCTTGAGAATAATAAGACCAGAGATTTCCTTAACGATGCCTGCATTAAAGCAATCAAATCCTGGCATCTTACAGGCAATGACATGCAGAAATATTTCTGCATCATAATGTATCATGCCAACAGCAATGACCATTACAATAAATTAATTTTTATAAGGTAAATTAAAAAAAATAAATAAATAGGCATAGGATTGCCAGGGAACAGTTACGAGTTATATACCCTTTGAGTTGGTCACTCTCTGTGATGTTCTTTTCTTAATTCTGTTGCGTGCCACTGCTCCGAGTTCACTAAAACTTGGAGATTTTTTTGGTGCAGTTTACAATACGGAAAAAATTCCTAGCATGTGACAAACTTTAGAATAAAAAGAAACAAAGAATAAAAACACTACAAAATGCGGTTCATTCCTTAGGTCAAACTTGTAACTATTCTCAGGCAATCAAATTTTTTAAATTTATTCAAAGTGTTAAACAACCAAGATATAGAAATGTCTCCTGAAACTGAATACTCTTATCCTATTCGCACCAGTGAAATTGGTCTGAAGCAACACACTCAGATTTTCTTCATTTAACATTATTTCTATTTAATGGTTTCAAAATGCAGTTTCTTAAATCTCCATGGCAGTGAAAATTCACTACAAAAGGATTTGGGCAAAATTTTTCTTAACAACATACATGACTTCATTACTCCCTTTTTAACATATATAAACCAAAAGAATTTTATCCATTTCCACTATAAAATGAGAATTTAAAACTGCTTAGTACATAGTATATTTATAGAGACATTGAAGCTTGTTACATAAAGAATCAGACTCCACGAAAGTAAAAATTATAGGGCAGCGTTCACCTTCCAATGAGGTGACCCAGGTTCGAATCCCAAAGGCAGCTGCTGGTTGATATGAGTTTTGTTCCCGCTTTGTACCAACCATATCGCTGATGTAAAATAGCCTTAGTGGTAGACATATCGTGGGTTAGAATCCCTTTGTTAAGCTTACAGTGGGAGGTTTTCCTCTCCTTGAAATACAAATTCAAGTTCTTCTTTTTCCATCAGTTTGACAGCCTAGTATACTCTAGAGCTATCCCAACTAGTGTCTCCACCTGGCTCGATTAGATACTAGATAAATTTAAGTTAATCACACCAAAAAGTCTTCCCCAAAACCTACAGTGAAACATCCAGGAAAGACCACCACTGTGCAGCGACCTACTCTAGTTGCGACCACTTTTGGGAGGCCGGAATTTATTCCAATCTAATTTGTGTAGAAGAAAACCTTTTAGGAGACACGATTAAAACCTCCTCAAGAAACTGTGTAAACCTCTGCACCAAATGTGGAAAAGGTTAAACACGAAAAAATATCAGCAAAAAATTATAACAAAATAAATAAGTAGATTCAAATGTATTTAAAATATTTTTAAGTGGCTCTTATTTAGTGAGTTTTTTTTTGTTGTTGACGATCTCTGGAGGAGATTGACAAAACTCAGAGTGCACTAAAGACGATGCTATAAATGGTTTATTTTTTGAGTTTAAAGTTAAATTAGAAAAAAAAAATTTTTTTTATAGAAAAAACTAAGCATTTTAAACAAACAAACCTCTCTGCATTTTTTAAAGCTAACTAATTTTTATGATCTAAAATTAAATGCAAACTTAAATAAAAAACATAATTGTTTATTCATTTAAAATAGTTCTATCATTCATAAGAAGTAAATTTGTTTTGAAGCATAATTATATCAGTTAATGTTATATTTATGAATTGATCGTGATGTCGTTAAATTTTATTAATTGTTCTCATCGTCGAATAGACCGAAGTGTCATTTCCGCACCAAGAAAATAACACTGACTAAAATTAAAATTGCCTGCGAACACTCATGTACTTTCGATATCCTATTAAAGACAACGAAGGTAACCCCTAGGAACAAGAATTTTACTGTGAAACAAAGAGTGGTTACTCTCGAGAGGTTTCATTGTAATTTTTTCCAATGTTTGATCCAGGAGTTCCACTGTCTTCTGCATTAGATTCAAAGTTACAAGACTACAAAGTTGAACAGTGACAGTCGTTAGCTCAGAATCGAGTTGGCTGTTCAACATTGGTTATTAAAAAAATGTTAAAGCTTGCTACAGAAAGAACCTTACATTGCGAAGATAAAAATAATAGAAATTGAAACAGCTGATACTCGTTGACTGATGTCTCCATTGTATATTTAACAAGACGTTCAAATTTGTTGCACCCGGTATCTTACTTCAAGAAAATAAAGCTTATAGGAAGAATATTTCTGTATTGTAATCAATCGCATCTATTATAATCACCAAATGGATTCTAAATTTACAAATTTAAAAAGGAAAACATGTTGAGGTATGCCTCTCAGGTGGCTACCCATTAATACCCTTTCAGGTGGTTTCCTTCTGTAATTTTTTTTTTAGTTTCTCGCAGGTTCCCTGCAAAACTATTGTGACTACTTGAAAGTTGTCACAACTTGGTAATTATATTGTAACATCTTGGTACGGAAACTTTCTTATTGTAGGAATTACAACATAGCAATTATTGATACTGCTTGACTCATCAGATTCTCATCCAGGGATTAGATAAAATTCTGATGATCTTTACAAATGTTTCTTGAATGTTCTCAAAAAAATTTAGGAAAGAATTCTAATTATCATAAACCGATTATATATTATACAGTTAGCTTCACAATTTCAACTGTGCAACATCTCGTTATCATTTTAATATGTTAAGTCCCTAAATACGATAATATGAATGTAAAAGAAATGTGCCCGTAGATTTGTGACATAGTCAAATCAAAAAATTTTTATTACCCTTTCTTTCATTCTCCATTTTTGTGTATTTGTATTTATGCCCTCTATTGATTCTGCATGCCTTTTAGAACTAAAGGCAAGCGGAACTAACCAATCGGGTAAATCATAACCTTCTTCATTACAAGAAAAGTCAAACATTGTTTATCTCTGACAGTTTAAACCAAAAATAAGTGAAGTCACATTTTCTCCAAGAACGAAACCCAGAAAAAAGCAAAAAGTTGTAAAGTAAACAAATAATAATCAACATGCTAATTAGACTGATGCCAACAAATGTAATAATAAAAATTTGAAAGTCACAAGCTGTTTGTTTAGAATTCCCGCGGTTGCCTATAAAATGGAGAAGACAATGTAATACAAGCTATAAGCAAAAATAAAAGCACTTTGAAAGAGCCAAAAATAGCTACATCCTAAAATGCCCGCGCATTTCCATTTTAATCATTCGTTTATTATATTTTTTTGTGAAACTGCAGCATTTTTAGTAGTTACTAATTAACACAATTTTTAAAGTCAACTTTTAACTTATTTGTTTGGTTCATTTTAAAAATACTGCTCTAATTTATTTCAAAGCTCAGTATTGTACATATTGTTAGCATTTAGGACTATGGCAGAAGCTGAAGCAGATGGATGGGAAACTGTTTCATCCGACGGAGATGAAGCTACTTCTGGAAGTGCAGTTTATCAATTCAAAATCATTTTGAAGCATCTTAAACCTCCTATATGGCGCCGAATTCTAATTTTGAACAATTCCACGTTCGCGGAGTTCCATTCTGCTGTTGTTGGTTCCATGGGATGGCTGGGTACACACTTGCATACATTTCATGCCCGTGATAAAGAAATAGCACCCGTCAATGAAAAAAATGACAATTCGGACATCAATAGATTAATCATGCTTATGAGTGGTCAATGTGAAGAGGAGAAACTTGATGAAACTAAGGTGAAACTTTTTGAACATTTTAAAATGCCTAAGGATAGAATCCTGTACGTATACGATTTAGATGATGGCTGGGAACACAGCATCATTTTGGAGAGGATATTGCCGTATGACAGCAGACCATATTATCCTATTTGTATTGCTGGAGAAAGAGCATGTCCTCCTGATGATTGTGGAGGGGTCGATTCATATGAGAAACTTTTGAAAATATTATCCGATCCTAATAATCCTGAGCATGGAGACATGAAGGCGTGGATGAATCTTAAGAGCAATGAAACTTATGATTCTGAAGCTTTTGATCCTATTTCTGTTCGTTTCGTGCGTTGATTTGTCAAATATTTTAAATTGCTATTATCAGAATACTTTCTTTTAGTCAAGTTAAAGATATATATCCTAGAAAGCTAATGTATAATTACTGGTCGTTGTTAACTATTTCATTTCTCACTGTGATACTCAGAAACCATTAAATTGCAAATTTTTAATTTTTGTGTCTTATTTTAATTCGATTTCTGATTAAAAAAAAAGGAATATATCCAACATGAAATTGGAGTTGTTTAATAGTGTAAAATTATTGTTTGGTGAAATAATTTGTCCTAATTTGAATATTTATGTACTTTTTTAGGTAATGATTTTTAAAATGTTTTTTTTTTTCTGAATCATTATCCAATGCAATTGTCATCTTTTGACATTCTTGTTTTATTAAAATTTTTCCTTGGGCATTATTCACGATATTAGAATTTAGCAAAAAATAAATCTATATATTAATAGGCTAGCAATATTTTGTCTCGCTAAAAACTCCCAAACTACGCAACAGAATTAAACAAATAAGGTGTCGTTTTAAAGGTATTGTTATGTAGATGTGCAATAAGGTCTTAAATTATGAAAATTTCCTTTAATTAATTAATAAAATTAATAATTTAGTTTCAACCAATGAGAATTCAGCAAATCATTTTTCGGGTGGTTCGCATAAGCATTGTTTCCGTAAGCATCGTTTGATTTAAAGCATTTCTGAATTAATAGATTGATAAACAAAAATAAGAGTGGATAAAAAAAAACGGAACTGAATTTCTTAAAAAAAGAATTCAATATCTTTAGTTCCTTTGATAAATTTTTAGTTTCATGATAAATTTTTTGTTTCGTTACAATAGAATGGCAATGGCATCGTGCGAATATTCAAACCAAAACAAACGTGCGAATATTCAAACCAAAACAAACTTTCTACAAACAATTATTTTGATTTGAGATTTAAAACGATATCTTAGTTATTTAGTTCTATTTTTATTTATTTAGTGCCTGCTGCCTAAATAAAATGCCTGCTATCAGGCGTCGAAATATCTCTGGCAGACGTCAGAGAAATGAATGGCGGAATTCTAAACGGGAAAGCATTTCTTATTGAGATATATTCTCTGCTACAGCTCCAAATTTCTCAGCTACATGAAGAAAAGATAATCAAATTGTGAAGGGGGCAGAGAAGTGTATAAATTTCATTAAGTAATTGATTTCAATATCTGGCATTTTTATTTTAAAATTTAAATTTGTTAAAATGTTTTTATAAGATTGCGAAGCAATATGCAATGGAACTGCGAAGCAGTTCTGGGGGTTGGCGAGCGTAGCGAGCAGGGGGCGGAGCCCCCTAGTAGCTCCTTAATATATTTCTTAACCTGCCTTAATCTGGGTAAAGCTTAAAAAATATTATTTGTAAGGCTTGTTTAAAAGATCCTAAAACTAATTCTGATTTATGAATTGATACTAATTGATTTTCACTGTGACCATGATAAACTGCCAAAACATGTAAAAGTAAAAGCCCAGGTAAAATTAGCCAAACCAAGAATAACCACTCACGCTTTTACTTTAAGTTTGTTTTATATTTCGCACTTTAACAGCATGATATAGTTATTTATTTTCTTCCAGTTTAAATATTTTTTTTGCAATTTTTAATTTACTGAGGAGTGAGGAAGATACCTTTTGTTTTTCCTGGAAAAAGAGGTACTACCTCGATATCGAATGTATGTGAATGGACACAAAGTGAAATTATACAAGGGAAAGTTTGTGGAAGTGCAATATACAAAGAGACCTGGCTTGTCACCGTCTAGAGTCTTATCTTCAGGGCTGATTGTGTTCCGGAAAAAATCCTGATTTCAGGATTTTTTGCTTACCATGATCCGGAAGTTTCCGGAGATAGAAGGTTCACAAGCTTCGAAAAATCATTGATCACAAAAGTTTCCGGAAATCAAATTTTCAAAGGTGGAACTTAAAAACACAGTTTCTTTAAGTTGTAAGGGAGTGCCAGATACTTTATAAGCTTATATTCAAGATTAATATTTATTTTTTATCACTAAATAGTTATTATGATCATATTAAAATCAAGAAAGAAAAACATATTTGTAAATTTCAATTACTTCTCTTGGTTGACATAGGTACTTGTAAATGGTATAGCTGTGTGTAAAATTTTAAATATATTTTAAGTAAACTAAGAAATGTTGAGAAAAAACAAAAACCTTGTTTAAACTTTTTTCTAATTTTTCGATTTAAACTCTTTTTTTTTTTTACTCAAGAAGTTTTCCTGAATTTTGACATAGGCTCACAATCACCCCTGTATCTTTCAATATTCATGTGACAAAAATCCTATGAGAAAGACAAGCCTTTTTATTTAATATTGAAAGCAATCACAGAGATATAGAAGCCACAAACTAAATGCCAATAATTCTAGCTTGGCATTGTTTTAGTAGCAGTTGCGGGGGAAATCAAGTAGTACTAATGAATCATTAATTATTGATAAATTTAATGATTAAAATTAGGTATTGTCAGAAATACTGATTTTTGCCTACAATATTTTTTTTTGTTGAGTATTTTAGAAATGACTGTTTAATATGCAAATGCGATTTATCCTACTAGTGTACCTTTCACTATGCATTCTTTAGATAATGTTTTCATAATGGTATCTAAACTAAAATGGTTGTTAAATTTTGGTGAATGTGGCAGTGGCATGTGATAAACTAAAAGAGAAAATCATAAAATAAGGCGAAATTGGAAGGTAAAACTTGTTGTTGTATCTAGACAAATCACTATGAATATATATATATTCAGAGCTCATTCTAGGCAGAAAAAAGGGCAGTGTGCAAAAGTTTAAAAAAAGGGCCTTATTATCCTAAAAAGGCTATAATTTCATTCTATGGGCTTTACACATTCTATTAAAAAAATGTCAATTAGTCAGAAAAAGATAAAAAAAATTTTTGCTTTGCAAAAAGTAGCAAAGCAATCATATTAATTACTAATTTTTATTAATAAATTAACATATAAATCAAGTTAATGAGCTAATTAGCTTAGTAATATATTTAAAATGCATGCATATATTAATAAAATAATAAGTGTATGTTTTTAAGTGTCTGTAGTTATGATTTAATAATTAAAATGATTATTAATAATTATGATTTAATAAATAACTTTTTAGTTATTAATTTTATTGCAGGAGCTTTAAATAGTATAACAATATACACTGGTGTGCGAAACTTAAGCAACAAGTGAGTTTTTTGTCATAACCGAAGCTGTGGCCGAAAAATCACTTGTTGCTTAAGTTTTGCACACCAGTGTAATTAAAACTGCAGCATTAAATTAAGTAATGTACATTGAAAATAATATACATTAAAAATAATTTAAAACTTATGTTTTTAATATCATACAAATAAAAAAAAAATTCTAAAGATTAATTAAAAAATAGCATACAAAATTCCATGAAGTATCTTACTCAGTTTTCCTTCAATATTATATTGAACCAATTTAAGAAACTATCAAAACATGGATTTAATGATGGTCTATTTTTATTTCCACCTTTTTTTAGATAAGCCTGAACCTAAAATCTGCTTAAATGAACATATTTTATAGTGATCAGTAGATACAGTAGAAGTTCAAAATTAAAAAAGAAATTGAAAATTTTATATTTTTTTGATTATATTAAATTGAAAACTATTTATGCCAGTAACAGAAATAAGAGTTTAAATTATTAAAAATATTTTCATAAAAAAACTGTTTTCAATACCATACAAAATTTAAAAAATTTTTTAAGATTAACTGAAAAATAACATACAAAATTCAATAAAGCATCTTACTACCATTTATGCTTTTGATTACAGTAAGTATATTGTTAAAATAAAATAAAAAGTTCTCCTTCAATAATTACATTAAACTAATTTAAAAAAATGATCTATTTCATTTCCAACATTTTTTAGATAAGCCTGAACCTACTATCTGCTCAAATGAACATATTTTATAGTGATATTTTGTTGTGTGAAGTTCAGTTTAGTTGAATTGTAAGTGGTGTTCCTGAATTTATGGTAGTTTAAATACAGTCATAAGAATTTTGATTGCTTGCTAAAGCTAAGAGTTTTCTAAAAGGCAGTTCTGGTTACCAAAAGGATGATCTTCCACACCTGCTGGCCACCCTTACAATGGACCCTTAGGATAGAACATTGCTTGAGAAAAAAAAATTTAAGAGTCAAGAGTATACCAAGAATTGGAGAAAAGCATCTTTATCCCTCTCCCCACTAATAAATTCCTGCTGGACAACTGAGAGGCCTGTATTGAACTTTTCTGCTCTGGAAGATAGTGGAAGTAACTGCAATCTTTCAAAGACAATTGCATCAAGGGGCGTGATGGCTATTTTTCCTTTCCCATATAAATCTATGTATTGACAGCAATGACAAACTAAATAAAAAGAGTTGAAAATAACAAAAGCTTAAGAAATCTATTGTAGAGTTTGGGGAAAAAATGAAAAAAGGGTATGGAGTCTATTACTTCAGTGCACTAATTTACTTCAGGGGGCAACAGGGTGGATCCTTTTGACTAAAAGGCAACACGGTGCTGCGCAGTATTAACCCTGCCTAGAATGAGCTCTGTATACATTTTAAATTTTATTAAAACAGTCAGTTTATGATGTAGTCTGGGTGCGTAGCGTTTTTAAAAATTGCTTAAAGGTGCTTTTTGTTTTTTAAAAGCTCTTCAAGGTGTTTGTTTTTGTTTTCTGAAAGCTTTTGCTTTGTGATTTTTTCACTTGATGTTTTTAAAAAGTGCTTAATTTTCTCTTTCCCAAAATGATATTTTTTTTTACCATGTTTATTTTCGCCACGAATTATGCAGGAATACATTGCGCACATCGTTTGATTCAGCGTTTTCACAATTAATTCAACCTCGATATATTTCGGCCTACCACTGGTTCGGTATGGTATGAAAACTCCATTCATTTTACATGATTTGTGAAATACTTGCAGGTCTGCATGTGCGTATACTGAGCTACATTCAGTGAGAAGGATTTTCGCCCTCTGATGTGTAAC